GTTATAACGAATTCAATAATATTTTTGATAGGTCCTAAATGAACTTCCATAGAAAAGTACTTAAACACTTCGGAATTGAAACTTTTCAACAGCAATAAATAGAATAATGATCCTTGATTAAGTCTCTTTATGTTCTTAGTGTAGTCTACTTGCATGCCACATTATATTATAATCAGATTAAACTGTATTTGGAGTAGAATTTTGAGAGTATTTAACAGAAATTTCTATTTTTAGTAGAGTATTTAACAGAAATTTATATTTTTAGTAACCACGGCAACAACGTTCATTGAAGTCAAAAACCGATACACAGAATTATGTACCTTAGTGTAGTCTACTTGTGTGCCAAATTATATTGAAATAAGACCAAAATTGTAGGTGGAGTAGCATTTTGAAAGAATTTCACAGAAATTTCTATTTTTAGTAACCACGGCAACACCGTTCATCGAAATCAAAAACCGATACATAGAATTATGTATCTTGTAGCCTACTTGTGTGCCAAGTTATATTGAAATCAGACCAAAACTGTAGGAGGAGTAGCATTTTGAAAGAATTTCACAGAAATTTCTATTTTTAGTAACCACGGCAACATCGTTCATCGAACTCAAAAACCGAAAAGCAGAATTATGTATTTTAGTGGAGTCTACTTGTGTGCCAAGTTATATTGAAATCAGACCAAAACTGTAGGAGGAGTAGCATTTTGAAAGAATTTCACAGAAATTTCTATTTTTAGTAACCACGGCAACACCGTTCATCGAAATCAAAAACCGATACAAAGAATTATGTATCTTAGTGGAATCTACTTGTGTGCCAAGTTGAAAAAATTGTTTACAGACAGACGGGCAGACAGAAGACAGACGGATAGCTAGACTGGACGGACGCCGGACGCATTACTATCGCATAAGCTCTTCTGGTCTCTGACCAGTAGAGCTAAAAATTGTTAATTAATTACTAAGTATATATTTTAACAAACAATAAAAATTTTCAAGACTATCATGACGTTTCTCACTTTTAATTTGCAACAAGAATACATGTATTATCTTAAACCCCTTTTCTTGACCAAAAGAAATGTCATGGGACGACAAGGGGAAGTCGGAGTAGACATGCAGGGACAACGATAAGAGACAAAAGGGAGTGGACTGGGCAGTCAGGGATAACGACAGTGCAACATAGGAGAAAGTCATGATCAGGGAGTGACTGGAAAATGACAGGGGAACGACGGGATTAGGTTTCACCTCTCAAATATGCGTTAACATTGGTCCTTTCGATGAGATGTTGAGCTGCTTACGTCACACAGTGGGCGGGATCAGCTTTCTTTTTTTGCATCAGGCGTTGGTTTTGACAGCTAGTGAGAAATTTACATCACGGTAGACAGCACAAAAAGGTAGCTTTATATATTTGTCATGCATGTTTGCCTTCAAAGTAAAAGGTGTTGCCCTCGCTGTATAATAAACCTCTATCAATTTTGACTTCTGGTCTAACATTTCATTAAAATTTGTATATTTGTCTTTAGCGTAAGGTGCCACTTAGAAAAGGTTCACTTTTTTTTATTTTTACATTGTGTAAATTTTAAACTTTAAAGTGTAAATTTTACACTTTAATCTGTAAATTTTACACTTTAAAGTGTAAATTTTACACTTTAATGTGTAAATTTTACACTTTAATCTGTAAATTTTTTACATTAATCTGTAAAATTTACACTTTAATCTGTAAAATTTACACTTTAAAGTGTAAATTTTACACTTATTTTGAACAACCTGAACTGCAATAGCTTATGTTTGGACGGTCGATTTGTGATGTTTTACCTCTGACACTTGAGAAAAAGTATTAAACTGAGATGTTTACAATTATTTGTATATTTTTATTTTACAGTTTGTTTATTAGTATATGATAAACAAGGATGGACTATTTCCTCATGGGTCCGAGCATAAGAAATCAGATATCTGCTTTTGTTTCAGTATATATACATGTGTTTCTTTAGTTTTACTATAGTGTACCGAAAAGTTAAAATATATATCTCAAAGATTTTTTTTATTTGCAGTTCAATATATTACGTATAATATTAACCTGTTGGCTTTAAAATGCTGTGTGATCAAAAATTTTAAATTTTACAGATTAAAGTATATAATTTACACTTTAAAGTGTAAAATTTACAGATTAAAGTGTAAAATTTACAGATTAAATTGTAAAATTTACAGATTAAAGTGTAAAATTTACATTGTCATTAAAATGTAAATTTTACAGATTAAAGTGTAAAATTTACAAAAGTGTAAAATTTACATTTTATGAAATATTAAAATTTACACTTTAAAGTAAAATAAAAAAAAGTGGTGTCCACACAACACAACGTTAAAAATTGAGTCTTGTCTTATAATATACCATGCCTTTTATATGTAAGGCAAGAAAATTACGTCGACGTCCGTATTATGATGTCTATCGAACTCGATGATACACAAGATTTAGGGAAAAGGTTTTGGAAAAGTCAAATTGTATCAATATTACAATTCAAAACAAAATAGTTTGTTACAAAAGATTATTTTTAAAAAAACACGCGAGAGTTAAAAAGATGGATATGGAGATAACGAACAGTATTCAATCTTAAAGTCCATTAAACAATATACAAAATAAGAGCAGAGCAAACACGGACCTCCGAAACATTAGAAGTGGGATCAGGTGCCATGGAGGAGTGAGCATCCCCTGCCGACCGGTCACACCCGCCGTGTGCTAGTTGTCATGATCAGGAAATAACGGAAAAATTCCGTCGTCAATTCAGTGTATAAATAATGGACTAACAATTGGTATGAAAAACGTCAGTCAGCATTTGACTCAATGATAAATTGTATTTGCTGTATTACGCTGATAAACGGAAGTAACGTTAAACATAATAAGACCACCTTTAAAAATTGGTTGGTTGCCCTCTACAGCTAGACCGACTGAATAAAAATGTCCCAACTCAAAACTTTTTTTTTTACATTCCAGGTCACGATACTTTTTACTTTTTAGCTCATCTCAACGAAGTTGGGGGAGCTTATGTAATACCCTCGGCGTCCCAGATTAAGGTTAAGTTTTTTGGAGCAGTTTTCTTTTTAAGTAATTCTGTGTCCTATATTGATTATACATGCATGGAAGATGCTTCTAGAGTGTTACATTGAAAGAGTCAAAGTTTCAGATGCTGCAATTTCAGCAAAGGAATGACCAGGTTAATGTTTTTGGAGCAGGTTAACATTTTTGGTGCAGTTTTTGTTGTAGGTCTCATTTCCAAGGAACTATTAGCCCTATGATGACCAAACTTGCACGGATGATACATCTAAGGATGCACATTACCAGGCTTGCTTCGGATGCTGAATATGACCTACATTTTCCGGTTGAGTGAACAGGTTAATGTTTTTGGTGCAGGTCTCGTTTCCAAGTAACTATAAGCCCTATGTTGACCAAACTTCCATGGATGATACATCTAAGGATGCACATTACCAGACTTGCTTCGGATGCTGAATATGACCTACATTTTCCGGCGGAATTAACAGATTAATGTTTTTGGTGCAGGTCTCATCTCCAAGTAACTATAAGCCATATATTGACCAAACTTCCATGGATGATACATCTAAGGATGCACATTACCTTGCTTGCTTCGGATGCTGAATATGACCTACATTTTCCGGTTGAGTGAACAGGTTAATGTTTTTGGTGCAGTTCTCATTTTCAAGTAACTATAAGCCCTATCTTGACCAAACTTGCATGGATGATACATCTTAGGATGTACACTACCAGACTTGCTTCGGATGCTGAATATGACCTACATTTTCCGGTTGAATGAACATGTTAATATTTTTGGTGCAGGTCTCATTTCCAAGTAACTATAAGCTCTAACCAAACTTGCACGGATGATACATCTAAGGATGCACATTACCATGCTTGTTTCGGATGCTGAATATGACCTACATTTTCCGGTTGAGTGAACAGGTTAATGTTTTTGGTGCAGGTCTCATCTCCAAGTAACTATAAGCCCTATCTTGACCAAACTTCCATGGATGATACATCTAAAGATGCACATTACCAGGCTTGCTTCAAATGCTGAATCTGACCTAATTTTCCGGTTGAGTGAACAGGTTAAAGTTTTTTGGGCAGGTTTCATTTTTAAGATGCTATGAGCCCTATAATGACCAAACTTGCATGGATGGTATATCTTAGGTATATCTTATGCTGATGCATTTTCCGGATGAGTGAAGAGGTTAAAGTTTTTGATGAAGGATTCATTTCCAAGTACCTATGAGCTCTTTAATGACCAAATTTGCATGGATGATACATCTAAGGTTGAATTCTACCAGGCTGGCTTTGGATGCTGAATCTGAACTACATTTTTGAGGGATGAGTGAAGAGGTTAAATTTTTATGCATGTTTCATTTCTAAGTAACTATTAGCCCTATGTTGTGCAAACTTGCATGGATGATACATCTTAGGAATGCACACTAATGAATTTGCTCTGGATGCTGAATTCAACATATTATTTTCCAGATAATGGACCAGGTAAAAGTTATGAGTGCAATTCTATTACCAAGAAACGATGAAGAACTAGTTTGAAGTTTTTATATAGGGCTATTCCAAAGTATCAGATCAAAATTGCATAAATTTTGCATTTTTGAATGTACACTTTTTGTTGGGTAATTGTGTGACTTTGGCTTACTTAAAGACAACATTCGTTGAGGTGAGTTCTGTAATCTCTGATTACCTATGTTTATTCCTCCTATCCCGTCAACAAATATGTTGACTATTGTGTAAAAAAAAATTTACCATCTACCTACCGACCCAATGACTTTACCCTGAGTCGGGGGAGGACACTATATCCAACCACAAAAGCAAGTCCCCAGAAATCAATAATTTTTTACCTCAAACCTCGAATATTTGATCCTACGAAAATATTTTTTATTACCGTATTGTAGATTTTAAAGAAGTTGTGTATTACTTTTGGATCAAACCTCGTATTTGAAAAAAAGACAAACAATTCATTCTATCAACTTTTTTTTTATCAACCATAAAAGTATAAATGACATTAATTTAACAAAGCAATAAATGTTCCTGATCAGGTTTTCAACACAAAGACTCTCATTATTATTATCCCAAAGATTGACAAAATGCTGGTCACAGATTTCGAAACGAGGTTAATATCTGAAAAAGAAAGAAATTATTGCAATTTGCTTTCTTCAAAACGTTGTCTCGAATAATAGAAAAGAACTAATCTTCATTATCCCTCCGAAAAAAACCTCTCACCCCCAGCAAAGAGTAAAATTTTCATATGAGAAGATTATATCAATTGACGAAGTACCAAAATGATATGAAAAACAAATGACACTGGCTGGCTTATAGGCTAGTTCATTTCATCAATCTTCAGCGACATTACCAATCATTTTAGCTTTCAGATCTAAAATAATATCAGTTTAACAGTCTCGGAATAGGACAAAAAGTCGTGTGTGAGCTTACCGGCGCCATTGTCGCTGCAGACGGTCGGACATCCGGCCACGGTCGGATCTTCGTCACTTCCGTCATCGCAATCATTTTTTCCGTCACATCGGAAGCTGAAATCAATGCATGACATCGATCCCGTCTTGCAACCAAAAAAAGTCCAAGTGCAATTCTGTAGTGGAAAATTAGATACACATGAAATAATTAAGTCTATCAAAATAAAAGCTCTAAATGAGCTATGTATATACGCTCAGACGTTTTGCTACAGTACTATTATACTTAAAATTTTCGTCTGAATTTCTAGTACATTGTACATGTAATATGTTACTAATATATTAAAACTTGTTTATATATTTCTTTTATCAAAAAATTATAAAAACTATGAATTTAGCGCGTATTTGACATATATCTTGGCAAATGTTTTGTTCAAAATGATTTTCTGTTCTGAGGCTTTAGAGGCGCATAGACGCATTATTTACGCTTTTGAAAGATATTTATAATCGAAGTATTCTAGCTACATCATTTGATTTAATGTTTTGATTTGTTTAGACTCACTCGCTCCAGATTTCCAAGTATAGAGGGATAACATGTGACGTCAAAACAGGTTTTGGCCTCCAGTGCATCCCCAGGACACGTGGATCCGCCACCAGAGGGCGCTGGATTATTACAGGACCGGGTCCTCTGATGTGTCCCCATACCACAGGTCACAGAGCATGCTCCGTAAGATGACCACTGACCCCAGTTACCGTTTACTAGTGTGGGGATAAACTAAACGTATTTTTGTTGCAGCTTATTGAAAATTCTTTAATTAATTACTTTGATTAATTGAAGATAGTAAGTTTTAACATAATGATCATAAATTTTTATGTCCATGATATTTCCCAAAACATCCTATTTCTCTTTTCAATTTTTTATTTCTTTTAAACTGTTAAACCTGAATAAAACGAATACCTTACCAGTTTGACATTCGGTGGTACCCAATAAAAACAGGAGTCCCAAACAACATAGAAGTTTTGTCATTTTGTGGGAGCTGCTCGAGAAAAAAGAAAAATACCCTGGTCATAACAAGCACAAATAAAGACGGTAATGCTTATTTAGTGTTTCAAGAAATTTAAGAGATCACATAATATTTCAAAAACCGACCTACCCCATCCCCAACTAACCTGTTATGTCAAAGAAAGCTTCCTGTGCATTACGTTTGTGAACTTTATGTGTATTATAACTATGAAACAAGTGGAATTGTTTAGGATCAGTCAAAACATACATATTTAAACTAAGGATTTCTTAGATTAGTGCGCTTAAACTTAGAGTTCAGAAAAAATTAATGGCTTCTCTAAGTGACAAAGCCTTTATATAAACAACAGTAAGTTTCAATTCATTAAACACAATCCAAAAAAGTGAAATGTGCTTCATTGCTTGCACAGATGTGCATATCTAACGCAATTATTAAAATTTATTGGACACACTTTTTAAGGCATTTACTTGTGATTTAACATTAATCTTATTTAAATTAAAGTATTTTAATTCTTTTAGAAATGAATTTAACACCAAGTACATTTCTAGTCTTTAATTCTTGTAAATATTGACACTAAGGAAAAAGGCCTTTAATCATCAGACACACGACCATTATTATATTTTATTTATATCTATCTAATATCTTTTGACAAAGACCATAAATATTTGAACTGATACTGTGATACATTCGTCATGCCACATTAGTACAGGAGTGCGAATACACCGCTGTGTTCTCATTTCTTCTCGAAGTATTTGGAGGAGTTAATATTAAGGTATGAAATTTCCTTACAAAACAGCTTAAACGTAAATGTCATTGCAATTAAATAAATCGGTAATTTTCAATCTAGATTAATGTTTGATGCAATCCTTTCCCTCTTTTTTCCTTGTCCAGTAGATGGCGCTTCCATTAATCGTTGCTGTATCCCTCCTCATCTCCTCAGCTGTAGGAGGAGGTAGGTATTTTCTGATTTGTTGTTTGGCACTAAATGGCGCTTCAGGTAGTCGTTGCTGTATCCCTCCTCATCTCCTCGGCTGTAGGAGGAGGTAGGTATTTTTGTGTTTTGTTGTTTGGTAGGTGGCGCTTCCGTTAATCGTTGCTGTATCCCTCCTCATCTCCTCGCTGTGTAGGAGGTTTTGTTGTTTGGTAGGTAATCAATGGTATTTTCTGTGTTTTCTTGTTTGGTAGGTGGCGCTTCCGTTAATCGTTGCTGTATTCCTCCTCATCTCCTCGGCTGTAGGAGGAGGTAGGTATTTTCTGTGTTTTGTTGCTTGGTAAATGGCATCCCTGTTAATGGTTGGTGGATTGCGTCTTAATCTATCCAATAATGAGAGTAAAAATACGCTTATTGTAATTTCGATGAAGGATATGGAGATAATGAACAGTATTCAATATAAAAGTCCATAAAACAATACAAAAATAGGAGCAGACCAAACACGGACCCCCAAAACATCAGAGGTGGGATCATGTGCCATGGAGGAGTGAGCATCCCCTGCTGACCGGTCACACCCGTCGTGTGTTCCTTTCCTTGTCATGATCGGGAAATAACGGGAAAATCCGTCGTCAATTCAGTGAATAAATAATGGACTAACGATTAAAATGAAAAACGTCAGTTAATTAGCATTTGACATAATGATAAATTGTATTTGCTGACAAGGTCATGGTATCGCTAAAGAACTTACGAAATGATGACTTTAAACGAGACTGCTGATATTCTTGTTTAAGCGACTTATTTGTCTATAATTCACCTCTTTTTAGAAATTGTCCATACGTACAGCATGCTCCTTTTGCGTATCGAATCATTTGAGAGATATAAACCCCGTATGCAGGTGTTTAAGGTATATTGTTGCATCAGTAAGGGAAGTTAAGCTTGGTCGTTAGATTACCATTAACGTCTTTTTCAAGTGAAATATCCAAGTATGAAACAGATGTTTCAGACTCAGTGGTATCTTTTATCTCAAGCACATCAGATTATATCGTATGGACATAAGAATGGAAATTAACATTGTTAATTGACAGTACGTAAAATCGTTTGTAGGTCGAGATAACTTGGGTACTGAATTCATCCTGGGTTTCATGGAGAACAAGATTTCCGGTTCAGCGAACAACATTGAACTGTTTGTCACGACCACATCGAACACTCCCGCTGACATCACAGTTACCACGCCCCTGTTTGACCCCAGCTTCTCTGAGACTACAACTGTCAGCCGAGGTAATATCAAGAAACTGGAGTTAACAAACAATATCCGAGGCTCCGGCACAGCAGTGGAAAACAAGGGTGTTCGAATAGTCTCAACCCAAGAAATTACAGTCTACGGCGTAAACAAAGAGATGTACTCTACTGACGGCTTTGTTGCTTTCCCGGTAGATGCCATTGGTTTAGAATATGTTCTTGCCACTTGGAAAAGCGAGGCCGTGTTCATGATCATTGCTACTGAGGACGGGACAACAGTCCAAATTACCCTTTCTTCTTCCAACCCTACCGCTACATCGATCACTTACAATGGGGCTACGTATTCTAACGGCCAGACCCTCTCGGTATCTCTCAACAAATATCAAACTTTCCACGCTTTTTCTTCCTCGGGGGACTTTACTGGAGCAAAATTGGTATCGAACAAAGTGATCACTGTTATGACCGGAAATAGAAAGGTTGCCGTTAAGGACTCCATGACGAGGTCTAGCTCCGACCATTTAGTAGAACAAGTTCCCCCTATTGATACACTGGGTAAAGACTTCTTCACAATCAGTACACCAGATAGAAATATTGGAGATTACTTTCGCATCATAGCAACTGAAGACTCTACAGAGATCTCCTTGGCCGGATCGGTTTACACCACCATCAATAAATATCAATTTACGGAGCTGAACGTGAATACAGGCGATTACAAAAGTATCACTTCTAACAAGCCGGTAATGGTCACCATGTTTGGGAAAACTATCAGCACACAAACCGGTGACGGTCCGAATGGAGGAGACCCTCAATTCAGCATTCTCCCCGCCGTTCCACAGTTTCCGTCAGACTACACATTCAGCACGATCCAAACTCCAACTGGAGACTTCAAAAACTATCTTGTGGTTGTAATCAAAGATTCTGCCAAGAATGATCTAAAACTTGACGAACAGAGTCCATCAGGTGTAACGTGGTCCCCCGTTAGTGGATCTTCCCAAAACCTTGTGGTGGCCACTTTCAAAGTGAATCCAGGTTCCCACTCTATCTACAACACCAAGCCGTCTGCCACTTTCCTAGGTATGGCTTTTGGTAACGCCCAAACCAACTCCTACTCGTATGCTGCTGGGACTCGCCTCGCACCCATCAATGGGGTAAGCAAACATGACGTAAATAAATGCGTCCCCCGCCCTAAGAAGGAACGTATAATGTCACACATAACAAGCAAGTTAACAAAATTGCAGACACATTGTAGACATACTATAAATATGAAGAACAAAGCTTTTGTAAAGATAATGTACATGTATGCAATAAGCTGTGCATCATAAGGCTAAATTACCACTATTTTGAAAATATATACATATATACAGAAAATTTGGAAGTTTGTATTGAAGAACCAAGGGTAATGTCAAACAGAAGACAAGAATTAATGTACATTGTATTACACATTAAGACACCGAGAAGTGAAGTTAATGATCAAAATATCCCCCAATAGTAAAATTTCTCCATTGCTCTACTGGTCGAAGGCAGTATTGATATTGATATGTTAATATGTACTTCAATATATGTCCCGAAGCTCACTTTCTGTTTACTTTTAAACAGCCTTGCACGCCTTCTTCTACCGTGGCTGGTGACATTGTAGATAACGACTGTGATGGCTGGATTGATGAAGAGGAGAGTAATGGAATAGGTAAACAACTACAGAATAGAACTAGGGTTGGGATAGGTAAAAACAACTACAGAATATAACTAGGGTTAGGAATAGGTAAAAACAACTACAGAATAGAACTACGGTTAGGAATAGGTAAAAACAACTACAGAATAGAACTAGGGTTAGGAATAGGTAAAAACAACTACAGAATAACACTAGGGTTAGGAATAGGTAACATAGCTACAGAATAGAACTAACTAGGGTTACGAATAAGTAACATAGCTACAGAATAGAACTAGGGTTAGGAATATGTAAAAGAACTACAGAAGAAAACCTATGGTGAGGAATAGGTAAAATAACTACAGAATAAAACTAGGTTAGGAATAGGCAAAGTGTATAACTCAAAAAGGGTTTGGAATAGTTAAAAACAGCTACAGAATAGAACTAGGGTAAGGAATAGGTAAAACAACTACAGAATATACTTAGGGTTAGGAATAGGTAAAACAACTACAGAACAGAACTAGGGTTAGGAATAGGTAAAACAACTACAGAATATAACTAGGGTTAGGAATAGGTAATAAAGCTACAGAATAGAACTAGGGTTAGGAATATGTAAAACAACTACAAAAAAGCACCTATGGTGAGGAATAGGTATAAACAAGTACAGATTTATAGAATTAAGGTTGGGAATAAGTGAAACAATTAAATAATAATACTAGGGTTAGGAATACTAGTAAGTTAAACAACTACAGAATAATACTAGCATTAGGAATAAGTAAAAGAACTAGTGTTACAGATTAGAACTCAAAAAGGGTAAGGAAAAGGTAAAACAACTACACAATAGTACAAGGGTTGGAAATAAGTAAAACAACTACAAAATAGAACTCATTAGGAATAGGTACAACAAGTCCTGAATAAACTAGGGTTAGGAATACTATTATTAGGTGAAACAACTATTGAATATAACTAGGGTTAGGAATAGGTTAAACAACTACAGAATAACATTAGGGTTAGGAATAGGTGAAACAACTACAGAATGACACTAGGGTTAGGAATAGGTGAAACAACTATAGAATAACACTAGGGTTAGAAATAGGTGAAACAACTATAGAATAACACTAGGGTAAGGAATAGGTGAAACAACTATAGAATAACACTAGGGTTAGGAATAGGTGAAACAACTATAGAATATAACTAGGGTTAGCAATAGGTCAAAAAACTACAGAATAAAACTAAGGTTAGAAATAGGTGAAACAACTACAAAATAACACTAGGGTTAGGAATATGTGAAACAACTATAGAATAACACTAGGGTTAGGAATAGGTGAAACAACTATAGAATAACACTAGGGTTAGGAATGGATAACAACATAAACATAGAAGAACTTAGAGAGGGCTAAGAACAGGTAAAGCAACTACAGAATAAAACAAGGGTAAGGGATAAGTAAAACAACTACAGATTAGAGTCAGGAAGGTTAGGAATAGATAGAACAACTACAAAATAAACTCAAAAAGGGTTTGGAATAGGTAACATAAGTACAAAATAGAATAGAGGTAGGGTTAGAAATACTGTGGTTTCATCAATTTTCGTTGCCATCAATGATCGTGGACTCTGTAAATCAGATGTTTTCGAGAATATGTAATTTCGTGGACAAATGCATTGCCTATACAAATGAATAACATATTTCTTAATTCAATGAACATTGAATTTTGTGGATCTGCTCAACAATGAAATCCTTGAAAATTGGTCCTGAACGAAAATTGATGAAACCACAGTAGGTAAAACATATACAGAATAAAACTAGGGTTAGGAATAAATAAAACAACTTCAGAATAGAACTCAGAGAGGGTTAGGAATAGGTGAAACAAATACAGAATAAAACTAGGGTTAGGAATAGGTGAAACAACTATAGAATATAACTAGGGTTAGGAATAGGTGAAACAACTATAGAATAACACTAGGGTTAGGAATAAGTGAAAAAACTATAGAATAACACTAGGGTTAGGAATAGGTGAAAAAACTATAGAATAACGCAAGGGTTAGGAATAGGTGAAACAACTATAGAATAAAACTAGAGTAAAGAATAAGTAAAACAACTACATGAACTGTAACAGTCTAGAACTCAAAAAGGGAGAGAAAAAGGTTAAACAATTACGGAATAGAAAAAGGGTTAGGAATAAGAAAAACAACTACAAAACAGAACTCAGAGAAGGTTAGGAATAGGTAGTATAAGTTCAGAATAAAACCTAGAAAGAGTTAGGAATAGGTAAAAACAACTACCTACTGAATAGAAAAAGGATTAGGAATAAGTAAAACAACTATAAAATAGAATTCAAAAAGGGTTAGGAATAGATAAAACAACTATAAAATAAAACTAGTGTTTGGAATAGGTAAAACAAGTCTACGGAATAAAACTAGGGTAAAGAATAAGTAAAACAACTACAGAATGTAATTCAGAAAGGGTTAGGAATAGTTAAAATAAGCGCAAAATAGATTACAGATATGGTTAGAAATAGGTCAAAGAACTCTACAGAATAAAACCAAGAAAAGATTAGGAATTGGTAAAATAACTACAGACCAATTATAAAGGAAGCATTACGTTGTTCTCGCTTTGTTCGTGCGCATAATACATGTACTTAGTTCTTTCCCTCTCCTTGTAATGATCTATTAAAGTTAAATCTCAGAAGAAGGATGGGAAACAGAAATGGATATGAATGTTTGAACATTTTCACTGAAGAAGAGCACTGGATTTAATTTGTTACAAACTTTGCGTGTTTATGAATGACTTGCACTTAAATCAATACACACTCTTGCTTAAAAATCCTAAAATCGGTCAATATTTCTGTATGAATTTCATAAAATGATTTATATTTATATGAACAGAGCATAACATATCACATCTAGTTACATCAACAAAAGGCTTTCAAGACAGCCTCTGATTTGAGATATTATCTTGCTTATAATCTCTTCAATTTTACTGCTTTCGGAATCTTGCGGAAGATAAAAGATAATTGGTCAATGTATTTTGTCAAGATAAAAATACTTTCAACGAAAATCAAAAAAGAATCATGAAATTATAGTTGTTATTAGGTCACTGGAGCCCAGTTAATGTCTTTAGTCTGATAGAGGATTAAATCTATCTACAAGACAGCGTTCTAAGATTACCCCATTCATCTTTATCCAGACTGAAAGCATTTCACGGTGTTCGCCCTTTATGGAATATCTATTATACAACAGTAATAAAAATAGTTCCATGATTAGAAGAATTGTTCTTGGATTGGTCCGATAGTTAGAGCACGGCTAAACGTATTCTTTATGGCTATTTTTTTCTTTTTCCAGATGACGACGGCGATGGATCCATTGATGAAGATTTGGCCAACCTCCCGCGAAGTATGAAAACAATTTTACTGTCAAGATTATAATTATCCTTATATCTTTCATTATTAATTTGCACGTCGATATGAAAGATTTGGATGTTTAAATTATTAGCATTTCTAAAAATAAACTAAAAATATTACTTTATCTCAATTAATAAGGTAAAAAAAAATAAATCATTTGTTTTTAAATTCATTTCTGCATAAGCTATAATATAACTGGTGAGTCAATTCTATGATTCTTGTGTGCAGTATTCCTAATCTGTGCATCTTAAGATTTTTCAGTAATTATGTAGACTTATGCTATTTAAAATTTGGCTTTAGTTCAACGTCCCTCCGAGAACTTTTCGCTTATATTGCTTGTGGATGGGTGCCAAATTAGACTTAATATACTCGGCACATACTGCGATTACACCATGGAGATCTTTTCCTGTCTGCACCTACAGCAACAAGCAACTTCTGTTTATACAGTCTCATCAGAAGGACTGGTCTCAACGTCCCGCAGTGGGATTCGAAACTGCGACGTAAGGATCAACTCCTTACTTTGAGACTCTAGAGCAGATGCTATAACCTCTGCGCCACGCGGATGGCTCCGAGTAGGGCAGATCACTTAGATCTAATTATTGTTTGGAACTCATGATACAACACATGTATTTCGACATATTTACTATTGGATATACATTTTTATATATTTTGAAAGGCAAACTTTGCAAACAATTTAATTTACTTTGTTTTTCATACGGTAAGAAGGATGTCGAATTGTCTCTATTCCAAATGGTGCATTTTCATTCTCAAGATCAGTCACATGTTGATCTGCGTCAGCCATGTTTGCTTGATTTTTGGTTAACAAACTTTGAAAACTTTTTACTCATATTGGAAAGCGTTATAAAACCGCGATCACTATTTTTGACATAATAAACCCGTACGCTGAGCACGGGTTGGAAGATACCCTTAGTTGTCAAGGATCACGTACTCATATATAGCTAAACGTAAAGACGAGAATTGTACAACATGCCCAAGTTTCTTTTCTACAATTTTTTTATATCAAAAATTCTTAATACATGGTTTATGGAGTTATGTGAGTAAGATGCCGAAAAATCATGTATTGAAAACATAACAAAACCTGGAGCTGGAAATTCTTTTGGTGGCAGTAGGTGCCAAGGATGATTTAAATTCCTGTCGACTGGTCCCAACAGCAGTTTATAGTGGTTCTTACAAAATAAAAGGCCAAGAGTTTATTTAATTTTTCTTTGTTATATTTAAAAGGAGTACATTCTTAGCTGACAGTTGTACATTAGTTTTTGTTTTCTAAACATTACAGTCAACGGAAACTGGGCAGCTTGGGGACAGTGGAGCGCATGCTCACTGACTTGTAACTCCGGAACTGGTTCCCGAAGTCGTTCTCGCACTTGCACAGACCCTGCCCCGGCCAATAATGGCATTGACTGTGTGGGTAGCGGCTCGGAAACTGGTTCATGTACAGTTAATACGCCCTGTCCAAGTAAGAATTTGTCGAAACAAATACATATTACCATGAATTTATGTCTTAAACTATTATTATAAATTTTCGCGCAAGTTGTTACATACATAACCATTTTTTAACAGATTGTTCTCTAGATCCATGTACTCGCAGTAAACATTAAAGAAATCGTTAATGTTGCAACATGTTCAATAAACATTTATTTGGATTAAATAAACCTTGATCTTTTTATTTTCCATTGTATTTCTTGATTTCATTTTTTACTTAATTGTGATATGGCCATATTTATTACGTAGTTGACGGACAATGGGGATCCTGGTCGGCGTGGAATTGTTCTCGAACTTGTGGGAATGGGGTAAATACAAGGAACCGTGAGTGTGATAACCCTGCCCCACAACATAATGGCGCGGACTGTTCTGGTAACAGCACAGAGAGCGGTGCGTGCTGGGCGGGCACCTGTTATCCCTCTGTACTCGGAAATCTGGACAAGGTATTGATATTTAGATTTACAAAGTATATTAGATACACTACACTTTGAAAAAAGGCAATATAAACCCGGCATCTTGTTATTATAGTACTTAGTGCACTCAATAGGTTTGTTGTACTCTTCTAGCTTTGATTCAAGAACATCTCGTTATTTAAATCAACGTCCTATATAATTAATTTTAAGCTAATTTCTTCAAAACAGATTGATTCAAGAACTTGTTTTAAGGTTAAGGTTATGCAGCACCAGAGCTAAGATTGCAACTTGTGTATTTTAAAATTGGGGGAATTTTTTTTAATAACCTTTAATTCAAAGACATATCGGAAGGCTAAGTCATGTTTCTGTTTAACAGAGCTTAATCTTCCGAGTGACTGTTTTAAAGCAAAACTGGTACTTCACATTAGGGCCTGCTTGCTTGGTTTGGTTTGGTTTGGTTTCAAGACCCTGTTTTCTTACGAACTGGTTGGCTCTTAGACATCGCTGAATGTATATGTATGTTGGATATAGAAACGGCCATCCTTTGTCTTTCAATTATTTACAATTACATTTATTATTAAGTATGATTTGACGTGATGCATAAAAAGTACACACACGGTAACCATCTTTTTTCCAAATTACATGTAATTCCGTGGTGTTTATAATAAAGCTTTTATAATAATGCAATCTTCTGGCAATCTAAGTAACTGGTGACTTCCCTTTATTGACTTGATCACGAGATTGTGACAAATGACCGACATATTATTAAGTTGTCATCACAAACTATCAATAATTGTCATTTCTATTAATTCTGTAATAACTTTAGTAGAGTGAATGCATACAATCAATTTATAGCAGATAAACCATGGGCTCAAAACTGTGTTTGCACAACGTTCTGATAAATGAAAACGTTTTTACAATTATTATTCATAGAGAAAACGCTTTGGAACGAGTAGCAACACAATTTCTGTAAAGCATGCAATAAGAGCCTGGGTCCTTGACCATCCTTGTAATACACTGTTTAGATAATATCTGATTTGGCCCAGAATTTATGATCTGTAATATAATTTATCTTTTTAACAGATCAGAAATGATTTTTTCTACTTAGCCCAATAATCTTCATATAAACTTCGAATACAGCCTTCATACGTAGTTGAAATACTTTTTTGGTAATGATTTATATGAAAGATTATAACAATGATCTTTTTCTTCACCAAGAATTACAGACGACCACTTTAAGAGTGAAACTGCAAAAAGCTCATAAAGTGGGAGTAATGGAGAAACAAATGGTCTCTATAAGTCACGTATAATAAAATAATAGTTTAACAATTGTATTGCCTCTATTATGATTTGAATATCAGTTAACTTGAAAGAAAAAAAAAACAATGAAGTCTGCAACATTTTGTTCCACATTTGGATGTGACCGATCAACGGAATGCATTCTCCCCCTTTGCACCTGAACCCATCTCTGGTATTTCCGGGGACCTTTGTTTTATGCCCTGTTTACGGATTAATATTGTATGTAGATTTCACTGTTCGATTTCTTCAACTAATTTTTTCAGTCAAAACTTATTTATAAGGTGCATTTAAACATTTGAATGTTTTATTCGTAGAACTGCACTTCTTCTTCCTTTGGGTGTAAAACCGGTAACATCGACTGTGTGGATATTGAGAAAAGCTGTGATGGCGCTGTTGATTGCACCGACGGAAGTGATGAAGACCCCCAAGTAGCGGGCTGCACACCTGCCTGCAACAGAGCAGGTGCGATCTAGCGTCATTTCTAAATATACGAATAGAATTATAGTTTCTGAGAGAATTATGCAGTAAACGGTTTTGATATAAAATGTCTTACGTTTAAAATTTAATGTAGAAGATTTATATTGTTTTTGTATACAGGTTTCAATGATGGAAGATGCACACTACCGCTACTTGTGTCCGTGTCAGCCATATCCTTTATCTTCCGGAATTGGCGATTGCTTCTATAAACAATTATTTTGTAATCCTGTTTTGTTATATCTTTTATTCTTGTTTTGAAATAAATAATTAACACAAAGTACTATTGCTATTTCTGAGAAAAACCCCTCCATAAAAAATAAATGATTATATATTCTTTTTAACTTTTGTGTCATTGCCCTGATATGGGGAATTATAGAACACGATTTCCCTGTTTTGCTGTTCCTTTTCATAAGATGTAGCTGCAGGTCAATAGTTCAGCATGCGGTGAAGATCTTGTGTTAATGTACTCTAGACAGAATGATTATATCTTTATTCATTAAAATATAAATCATAATTGTACAGGCTTATTAGAGACGTCTATTTAGAGAACATCGTGATAACAGGATAAAACTTGATGGGTGGCGTTTCTACATCGAAACAAACAAACAAGTCAGAAATGATGAGCATTAAAATAATACAGAATGATATGTCAAAGAAAAACATTTTGAAAGAACGAACAAAAATACTTTATTTGATATATAATAGTATATCAATATAATTATTAGGGATGTCAATATTTTTTTTATTCATCGTCTAAATTTTTGATAATTTTTTTTTAAATGACACCAAAAGTTTTTTTTTCTCATTATTCTCTTTAAATGTTTGTAAAACGCTTGATGATTTTGATAAATAAAATATGTTCATTTTGACAGTCTCAATAGTAACACATACATGTATTATATAATGACCGGCAGTTACATAAAACTATTAAAAATTGATTTAGATTGCTAAGTAGATTTATAGTAAAAACTAATTTTTTTTTATTGATCAACATCTTAAAATAAACAAACAAAAATAACTTCAAATGGGATGATGTAAATGATGACGAGTAACAGCTTCCCCCCCCCTCCCCAAAATACAAGTTTGATGTTGGCAAATTTTCTCTAATTCACATTTCAATCCAGAGTCTTCAATATAAATATGACACCAAAAGTTTTTTTTCTCATTATTCTCTTTAAATGTTTGTAAAACGCTGTACGAAGGATAGTCAGAATATAAACAATGAACAAGAATAGGATTCTATCTTATAAATAAAGTATAAAGAAAAAATATTGTAAATGATCCAACATCTTTGTAATTTTGAAAGAATGTAAAGTGAACTTCTTCAGAAGAAAACGTTTGTTGTGGGCTTTAACTCTACTTTTAGATATATCGACGATGTATTATCAATTAACAATAAATACTTTCATTCAAATGCTGATTCGATATATCACAGTGAACTTGACATTAAAAAAAATCTGCAACATATATTTTCCTGGACTATGGACAAATGGACAATAGGGCCCTACTAAAAAAAAACTAAATTTTATGACAAACGAGATACTTTCAACTTTTCCATCTTCAAATGTCATTATATGTGTAGCAATGTCCCGCTATCATCTGTATATGGTGTTTAATCCCCCAACTTATTTGATACATAAAGCATCAGCACTTAAACCGAGACAGGCCTCTGACAAACACGTTAATATTACAGGAATTTCTACATATCGTCTTATGTCAGCATTTTATAAATTCTATAGTCGATATAATTACCTTGTTAGCAAGTATATCCCCTGCGTGGTTTGTATTTTGGCTGATTTGTTTCATACCAATTGTTAGGCATGAACTCAACATGTCACACCATTTTATAATAATAATTATGAATTACAGTAACATATATTGCTTTCTAATCATCAATCAAAAATACTCATTTGGGAAACCGGGTGTCATTTTTAGTGTTATAAAATATAAACAGTATTTGGGATTGTTCTTCCCTTCCTACCACTAATCTTAGTTAGTTCTGAAAATATGCTCTAAACATTAAATCACATCATGAAATAAAAAAAAAGTGCTCATCAAACTAGTGATATTAAATATTCGAACAATTTACTTTTGTATTTGCTACATTTACGGCGTTCAACTGTCACCTTATGGTCTTTGAACACCACTTTTTTCCGCTCTTTTTGTGAAAATATCACATTCACTTTGTGTATTAGATAACTCCTCTGCGTCACTGTCATACGTTTGTTGACGACCACGTCAAGACGTTATCCTGGCGCCTTTGTCGTGATGGTTTGTATACGTCTTTTTAAGACCACGTAATCTTGTTAGCTCCAGCTGTCGGTACATGGAATTACGATTCCAGATCTGGGAGGAATTTTCTGTTAAAAAGAAAAAAATGCTGGTTACTATTACCAATTTGGTACAAAATGCAATTTGTAATTATCAATTAAAATGTTTGGTAACTTCTATTTTGCCAGGACAGTGTGCTCGATTGCGAATCCAAGAAAATTAATTTTAGAATCAAAATCTATGTAACAACTTCATCTTGTCCTTATCGGTAACTCTTTACATATGCTTTAACCCTGTATCTTTACCACCAGCTTCTCCCAATAAATTGAGTCTGACTCTCTGGCAAGTAGTTCTGATCTAAATTGCAGCATTCAAGCTGTCTGAGAGTTTAATAAAAGTCTGAGACTGTTAGCGGTCTTTCAAAATGTTAAATACAGATTGGTCAAAATCTCGGCAAAAATTTTAAGCAGTCTCCAACAAAACTGAAAACCATTATCACCTGCATCTGGAGATTATGTCTTCCAGTTAATTCGATAAGCAAAAGTAAAGTCTCACCTAGGAACAATGAATAAAAAGAAAAGGCAAAGAACAAATAAATTGATCATACAAAGCTATACAATTTTCGTTTAAGTCAACATTCGCAATTAATATTGTCATTATAATGTCCTTCTTTACATAAACGTAAACGATGTGCCATTAAATCGAAAGTTGACAGACGACTTTCATAAAAATTGTTGGGGCCAATATTTTCACCCCGGATTGTCGACAGATTTTTTTTTTTTTTGATTACTCGATCATGATAAGGAGAACAATGTAGGTTTGACCAGTTGACAGGGAATGCTTTCACATTCATGACACCTTATCATAGGTCTGGTTTCTGTGCTGGATCTGATCATTTTAAATGGCATTTTACATTTATGAGAAAAGGGAGATGTTCTAGTATTTGAGTTTTTTTTAAACCAGTAATACTATTAGTCTTAATTTACGACATTTCTATAGCCTGTCGCTTGATTTGTCGTATACTGACAACGCTTTTGATAATACTTAAGCCCAGTATTTTGAAATATAATAATTTTCCCCTTTACCTGAGAAATGTCAGGTTTCATTTTAATTTTACTAGATGACATGTACATGTACTATATTTTAGCGTTCGAAAGAAACATAAGCAAAACATGGATGTACATGTTTTTCGCTGGCGACAGACGTTATTATGAAGCACTACTGACTACAAAACTATAATTTTACTTTCACCTCAAACCATGCCATTATTAATAAAGAAAGGCGGACAATAATAATATATAGAGAATAAATTTTTTAAAGATGTCAATGAATCTCAAGGATTTCTAAAATAAAAAAAAAAACATTCAACATTTATTCCATAACTTAACTGTATAAAATTGTAGTTAATTACTTGTGTTATCAAAGCTTAACGAAATCAAGAGATTTACTTTAATAAGTCTGGTCATATACATGTACATTGACAAGGAATACCGGACATGGCATTGAATACCGGGTATGGCATATTTTCCTTATTTTTATTCCAAGAAAGAAGGCAAGCTTGACTTTTAAGTATTCCAACTAAATTTAGACTTACTTTATTGTATGTATTGTTTACGATTTTTTCAACTTTCTACTTTTCTTAAAAAAAAAAGAGTGGGGTGAAATTTAAATGCATAGTAAGTTACTTGTAAAAACCGGTTTGTCATAGATATGAAATATGCTGTATTTTCAAAACTTTTGGTATATCCTTTAGAGCTACAAATCCCTTTGCGCTACATGTAGTAAAATATAAACTAATTGATCGTATGAAAACCGGTTGAAAACCATTTTGTGATAAACAAAGAATTCAAAAGTACGCTAACAATTTGTTACCAAGCAAACTGAAGATGTTAATTGAGTGCGGGACTAGTTCTACATGTGACGTATCTAGTGACGTCTACATAGTGCGCGGGAGTTACCTCTCAACAATAGTCCAAGGAGTGATGAGTAAACGTATGGAGGACCTGGAGTCGTAAGCAAACTTTACCTATGAACGAATTCTTTGTATCGGTATTTCTCGCTGACCCCGTGAAGGATTTCCGAAAGCGCGAAGCTCGTTTTCTAATATTTCTCATGAATGGAGCAGTGGATATCGTGTAGAGCACAGGGTTAATTGCTGAATTCAAAGGTAGTACAAAGACTGCCACCCAAGCGTAAACCTGAAAGAAATTCCAGTAATCAATAGGCAATGAATTTTATATATACAATGTACTGAGGAATGTTCTGTAAATATGGCCAAAAATATTAATGTAGGTCGAGTTAACGTTTGCAAAACAGATTGGCAATACCTGGGGTGGAACAGTTGCGCCACCTAGCGATGCAAATCCAAGAAGGATGATAGGTACCCAGCAGAAGAAATCGGACATGACAATAAGCGTCATTCGTTTGGCCATGGACTTGTCAGACTTCGCCTTGGACTTTCGAACGGCAGTAGTTGTTTGTTTGGCTACAAGAAACATCCATAGATATGAAATGAAAATGACTAAAAATGATATGAAGTTTAGAACTAGGAACACAAACACGGAATATTCCCATCCTTTTGGTTTATCCGGTGTTATATGAAACGCCAGGCACACTCCTGATCTCCCGTAAAAATTGTCAAAATAGTCCAGACCGAAAAGTGGGATTCCGGATAGCATTGTCACTACAATCCAGATACACGGCATCACTATAGAAGCTTGCTTTAATCCAAGACGTTTCAATTTCAATGGAAATATAATACAAATCAATCGGTCCAGCGTTATCACAGTAAGTGTAAACACTGAGAGCTCACTAGAGAATGTAGATATAAAGCCTGCGAATTTACACAACTCACTTTCCCGCCAAGATTTGTCGAATATGATATACTCTCCTCTGTAGTAGCTATCCACCACAGCAATGATTAATAAGTATACTCCCATGAAAAAGTCACCAACTGCCAAATTTGTAATAAGAAAAGAATGAACCTGAAAAAGAAGAATACAAAGTCAAGTGAAAGAGATCTCTAAACAAATCAACTTACATGTATATGGTTATGTTGAGGGCTCATGTGACACTATGAGGTATTATTTTGGCACAACAGGAATCCTACAAAGACTAGCATGTCACATCTTGTGGCCTACTTTGTGTTGATGTGCCATCTTTTTGCTAACTTTTTCATATGAAGTTTTCATTGTCTTGTCTTACAGATACTTTTTTCTAGTCAGTTTTGGGGGATCAGACAATATCATATTTTACGTAACTGCTAATCAAAGCTTGTGAATCTGATCCCCTTCTTGTTTGTTAAATTGTTTACATTTATACCGTCATTTTAATAAATGACATTATTCATCTCTATGAAAGTGTTTTATTTGGCTTATACAAAATTAGCAAAAACAAGCTGCGGTGAGCTTGCATATAAGCATAAGAATACATAAAGTCTATTACATGTGACAGTTGCAACCATTTGAATAATGAACTTCTCCCAGGATCGCTATTAACACGTTACCTTTCCATTCCTATCGTCCCTGATCCTCCAGATAAAGACCAGAAGGTTCCCAAAAAAGGCGACGGTCCCCAAGATCCAGATAGTGATCCGGAGGAGGTAGTTAGACATGAGATCCTCACAGGAGGAAAACTCGTCCGGCTCAGGTAGACATTTCTCCACCTCCCGAGCCAAACAACAGAAACGGAACTCGTCCACTTCTCTATAAAAACAATACAATTTATAATGTTTCCCGTTATAATGTTATCATTTCTCATGAAAAGAATGCTAAAAAATTCTCAAAAAATCAACTATCTAAAGGATAAAGTATTCGATGACCTGTTTTCACCATATTTTCATATAATCTTCAGAGGAATCGGGCAAATTGAAAATATCATGAACTTTTTGTTAGTTGTTATAAAATAATTTTATTGCTATGGCTTTATCATACCGACTCTATTATCGACCACTCTCTCATACACTTACAACATCTTTAATTTTGCCAGTCCATTAAAAGCACTTCCATCGATGTGCGAAATCTTGTTCTTTGACAGATCTCTAAAGAAGTAAATAGTGATAACAAATGAATCAACAGTTTATTCTACGTAAACCATTTAATTGCTTTTACCATTAATAACACTTGATGTATCTAAATTATGCCATTGGTTATAAAAATATAAACAAGGTTATTATACTGCATCAACTTATTTTGATATTTTTTTCATATAAATGACCAATAGACAGGGATAAGGCCAGGTTCTCTGTATACTTCACTCACAATGTTAACAAACTGTCGAGACCACTGAACGCTCCGCTATACACGTGTTCGATTTGATTCCTTGAGAGATCTCTTCATGAAACATAACAAGAATACAAGATAAATATCGGGTAAATAGCAAGAATATTAAAGTAGCATATCTATGTTGATGAAGAAGACGAATTATGATTACAGGCTAAGAGAAAACAGATTAGTGATCTTGGTTGTCTTACAGTCTAGACACACTTCTAAGTCCAACAAGGCCAAACTTATACAGACACCGTAGTCGCTGTCCGCTCAGGTCACTGTTAAAAATTAATTTAAAAAATTGGTTAGGTACTTGATTATAATTCAATAAGTCTCTTTATTTTCTTTTATTGCAACTGACGCTCAAAGGGAAAAGCAATTTTTATTTTGAACCATTTCTGAGTACTTGCAGTGTTAGGAGTTTTGAAAGTCCTGTCAGGGAGTACGGATAGACATCTTGGATGCGATTTCCTTTTATGTATCTATAAAAATAGAAAATCGTGTTTGTTCTTGCATGCGTCATAAAACATGAAAATGACTCAAATGAGCGCAATTTTTAAATTGTGTACTACTCTGATAAAAAGAATGAATTACATCCGAAGTATCAATAACCCTAACGTGCATTTTAAATAAAAACATAACTTACAAGCTTCGTAAATTATAGAGTCCAACGAACGCCCCCTCCTCTAATTCACTAATTAGATTGTACTCCAAGTTTCTGAAATGTCGCAAAATGCCGAATCGTAAACATCAATTACTTGTTTTCATTTGTAGACATGTATCATGATAAAATCATATATGTACCATAATAAAACGAAATAGAACTTTTGGCTCTTGCGTTTATTGGAATATTTTTCTCTACTTGTATGCACTTAATTTTTTCTTTGAAGAATGGGTTTGCTGCAAAAAGCATCAAACACCATTTTGTCATTGGTGTTGCAAATGCCCTTGCACTAGGTTTTCTTTCACCTACGGAATATCTCTTTATGACTGGAGACAAAACAATCCATACATGAACAAAAACCAGCATTAAATGAAATACCGCTTTGATAAATACTCACAAAGAGACGAGTCTGAACAGGTTTCGGAACATCCCCACGGGCACCTGCTTGAGGGAGTTGTTGCTGAGATCTCTACCAAAAAGATGTATTGAAATGAAAAGTACAAACCTAGCAATGATGGATACAAATTCTGTTTTTGTTATTATCATACCATCCTCGACCAAATTTAGAAATATTTCAACTATAATCAATTATGTATATATGATCCACAATTCAGATATACAATGTAAGAAATGCATTACAGGTAAACAACTTTTGAATAAATCAGGAATGATGTGTTGTCCAAAGAGTTGTTCAAGAAGTTGTCACTCAGGAAACTAAAAAGACAAAAATAAAAGTTTGTTCAGTAATCCCTTCCATATGTATTTTTTTTAAAGAATACTTATGCAATAAGAACAAATTGTAAATTATCTCACAATTTGGCCACGTTGTGTTCGTGGGGGAGATCCGTGGGTAGTTTTTTTAAACCCCTGCCACGACAGTCTATCTCGTCAGTGCGACATATACACTCCATTGAGAGATATGGACATGGCGCAGCTAAAGTGAAAACACATACAGATAAGTCAGTGCTACAGTCTATGAGGGGTTATCAAAAAGTCCACGAACTTTTGGGTAGATTAAGACTGCAGTGTTGCAATCTCTATTGAAATAACGACCACTACTGAAACTAGATATCATTGAGATGATGGCCATCGCAAAGGGCCCCGCTTTCAACAATGAACATGAAAATGTAAGGTAGTTTAAAAGGGTTTATTTTGAAGAGGAACATTGTGTACTACAGTAAAAGTCATTTAGTATGACTTCACGGATATTGCAAATTTACAGATATACATGTATATCGAAGTTATCTTGTATCCCCAGTTATATAAATTTACTGGAATTAAGGGGAAAAAATTATGCACCAAACAAAGATTTAAAACAGAGAGGCTAATTCTGACCATGACCTAAAAACTTCGACCAAGGTCACTGCACATCCATTGACCAGTGGCACTCTGTGAGTGAAGTATGAACCAGATTGGGTAAAGGAGAGAGATATGCTCCAGACAAGGATTTTTCATATAATTCTGCTATGACCTTGACTTTTGACCTAGAAACATGGTTCAAGGTCACTGCACATTGGTTACCCAAAGGCACTCTGTGGGTGAAGTATGAGCCAGATTGGGCCAAGGAGAGAAAAGATATGCTCCAGACAAGGATTTTTCATATAATTCTGCTATGACCTTGACCTTTGACCTAGCAACATGGTTCAAGGTCACTGCACACTGGTTACCCAAAGGCACTCTGTGGGTGACGTACGAGCCAGATTGGGCCAAGGAGAGAGAAGATATGCTCCGGACAAGGATTTTTCATATAATTCTGCTATGACCTTGACCTTTGACCTAGAAACATGGTTCAAGGTCACTGTACACCGGTTACCCAAAGGCACTCTGTGGGTGAAGTATGAGCCAGATTGGGCCAAGGAGAGAGAAGATATGCTCCAGACAAGGATTTTACATATAATTCTGCTATGACCTTGACCTTTGACCTAGAAACATGGTTTAAATTCACTGCACACTGGTTACCCAAAGGCACTCTGTGGGTGAAGTATGAGCCAGATTGGGCCAAGGAGAGAAAAGATATGCTCCGGACAAGAGATTTCGGACGGACGGACGGACGGACAGACTGATCACTATAGGGCGCCCGCCAAGCGGGGCCCTAATAATTATATCAATAGTGGTTGAGAGTGCATTTCAATAGCAAACATAGTTAGTAACCACTATTGAAATGCGACCACTATTGAAATAATTATATCAATAGTGGTCAAGAGTGCATTTCAATAGTAAACATAGTTAGTAACCACTATTGAAATACGACCACTATTGAAATAATTATATCAATAGTGGTTGAGAGTGCATTTCAATAACAGACATAGTTAGTAACCACTATTGAAATACGACCCCTATTGAAATAATCATTTCAATAGTGGGTGAGAGTGCATTTCTATATAATAACCATAGGAACACTATTGAAATACGAGCACTACTGGAATAATTATCTAATAGTAGGTGAGAGTGCATTTCAATATGGTAATCATAGGTTTCAACCACTATTGAAATACTACCAGTATTGAAAGAAAAGTTTCACCGCGTCAGCAACTTTTGAAATTAATTTCAATAATTATTTCAATATATATTTGATTCATTGTTCAAAGCACTATTGAAATCAATAATTTTATCCACATTGAAATCTTTATTTCAAAAGTGAACATTATTTCAATAGTGGTTGCAATCTATGTTTGTTATTGAAATGAATCTCGCCCACTATTCAAATAATTATTTCAATAGTGGGTGTATTTCAATAGTGGTTACTATTTATGTTTGTTATTGAAATGTACTCTCAACCACTAATGAAATAATTTTTTCAATAGTGGTTATTACCTATGTTTGTTATTGAAATGCACTCTCAACCACTATTGATATAATTATTTCAATAGTGGTCGTTATTTCAATAGTGGTTGCAACACTGCAACGCTGCAGACTGTTGACTGCGTATGGGAAAAATAGGTAGCATGTAATGTGCTTGTAGAAGATTAAGATTAAGATAGTACTGCAGTACATTGAAAAACCATGCTGTCTTTGCAATTGATTGTTAGTAAGAGAAGTTATTGCAAAGGTTAATGTGTGGTAATTATTTTTGTAAAAGTGGGTCAAACTCCAAGGTCAAGGTCGGGAGGTCAAATATGGTGTTATCCAAAGAGAGGTCTTGTCACAAAGAGTACAGCTGTGGAATATGAAAGCCATAGCCCCATCCACTCACACGCTATTAGCAAGGTAAAAGTTTTTGCGGACAAACAAACAGACAGACGGACGGACAGGGCAAATACTATAAACCCCCGAATCTTCCTAGTGTTGAGGAAGAATTAAAAAACAGTGTAGTGGGAAATAGTGTGCAAGTGGAAGATTTAATGTCATTATGATAGTTAAATGCAATGTCAGTTTATAATGCTAATATGCTTGTGGAAGAAAAGGCTGCATTATTTAAAGTACATGTGTATTTGTGGAAATTAGAGCATTTCTATGGTATATAGGGTGCTCATGTAAGATTAAAGCAGTACTGCAGTGTATTATAATGTGCTTGTTGAAATCAATCAATGTTTGGTGCTCGTGAAGGATGTGTACTCGTAAAAGAATCCATACGATCCATATTTGTCGTTTACAATTCATTGGTTTTATTTTCTTTAAAAACAAGTCAGGGACAATAGAAAGTTCGACATTTTGAGTGAAAGTCTTTTTAAAAAGGAGAAAGTTTTAAATTTATAATATTTATAAATATTAGATATAATAATTATGCTATCAAAGTGGATAAGGTTCAGAACTGTTCGGTTTAATTATAATTACATGTATATGATAGTTGAGAGTGTGAAATATTGCACATGTTTGAAAACACATGGTAAATAAAATGCACTAAGTATATATGAAACATTGATGCCCGTATAATATGAAAAGTTCAAATCCAAGGTTAAAGTTTTTCAAATTTTCAAAGGTCAAAATAAAAAAAAAATGCATGACACCCGAAGAAAGGAATCACAAGGAATACCTATGTGAAATGTAGACGCTATAGCAACAACCATTCAGAAAAGATGGCCCAAGATAAAACTTTTGTAAGGCAGGGTATATTCTGAGTTCAATCATTGGTACCGAGGGAAAGGTCCGGTAACAAGGATTTAAATGTCATTAGCCATTCAAACGTTATCAGCAAGGTCGATCTTTTTGCAAATGAAGATCAATCTCAATAGTTAAGGTAGATCAACTTAAAGGTGGTCAAAATATTTGAACCCCAAAAAGTTCATGTCTCAAGGAATATACATATACAGGTTATATAAAACACTAGCAACCATTCAAAAGTTATAACCAAGGTTAAACTCCAGAATCAAGGACATGAGTTTTAAAATATTGGTACCTAAAAATAGGTTTGTTCAAATCAGATATAAAAACCATAGCTATAATGATCATTCAGAAGTTATGGTTGAGGTTAAAGTTTGGAAAAATTTTGAAAAAAGTAACAAAAAGTAAAACTCCTTGTGACAGCTTAAGGTTTAAGGGTCAGATGTATTGCAATTGTCACAAGAAAAAACATATTAAATATACAAGCCCTTACGCCAACCATTCTTAAGTTGTCTAGGCAAAGTACAAGGTTTTGCAGACGACAGATGATCTTATTAACAAACAGACAGACAGACGAAGGGAAGAGCGAAAAATATTTTGAATCTTCGATTACTGGGACATCTTATAATAATGATGCGTGAGTTAACAAAGTGAATAAAACCTAAATGAAGGTGAAATAATTAAAAAAAAAAATAAAAGTTTTTAAATGAAATTGGAATAACACAGCTTGGAAGTTAAACAGGGCAGAACGGGACACATGTAAAGTGGGCAATACAGATATATCTGTATATATACATGTAGCTGGAAGGAAATAGGACGATAATGCTTGCGAAGGTTGCATTTAGTAAGGGGATGGTGATTTTACCAGAAAACATCATATTTATGAGTTTTTTTTTCTTTTCCTCAAACATTTCATTGTGATAAAGGACCAGCAATACACACATAAAGCCTTTTGGTGAAATTGGAGAATACGTAGCATTTAAAACATCGTAAAAATGAAGAACAAAATTAATAGGAGATGCGTAAATTTTCCAGACATTTATAGCTCAAACATTTTCATACATAAAATAAATATCTCGCACTGGAGTGCTTCAGCTATTTTTTTAAAGAATTTTTTGCTACAATTTAATTTTTTTAATATTTTCGGAGCAATAAATGTTTAGAATGATCTAGTTTGCAGACAAAATATTTCTGACACGGGACCCCAGTCATAAATTATGAACAGATGATCAAAAAGACAAATAATGCAGACTGACGTAAATTGCAGATATGGACTTAATTATAAGTTGTCGATTCAGTTCAAGTCGATCCTTCTTTAGCACGTTTCTCTATACTTTATCTGGGTTTTATGTGTTATGTTCATTACCAAGCACCAATTTTTTAGTCACAATTGACTTTGATATGAAGGAAAGCAAAACATTTGAATTTACGTGTATTTTACCTTAAGTCATTTGCATGTTTTTAATAGAAATTGCGTAATATATGACACATTTTATGGTTGGAGAGCAAAATTTTATCTCATGGTTGTCTCTCTGTAAACGGTTTCCCCCTTTTTGCCAAATTCAATTTTTTTTGTCTAGCACACCGGCATCTAGTTTGCCATCACTTTACCAAAAACAATTTTGTTAACATGTTAAACAGTTAGCACTGGTAATTCGAGTAAAAAGAACTCACGACAGCCGAGTTCGTCCCAGTACGAGTTAAGAGGACAGTCGATATTTCCATCACACACAGCATCCTCATCAATGCAGTAGGAATTACGGCATTTAAACTGACCAAGGGAGCAGTTTGCTTCCTCTACAAACCAAATTATACAACTGATTTGGAGTAAATTGTTTAATATCCAAAATTGCAATCCCTCAACACTTCTTTTTATAATCATTTGGTAATATTTATATTTTTTAAAAGAGAAAAATACATATTAAACCTTAGAATAAAAGTACTTTGATGTATACTTGATAAATTACAGTTTTATTTTGACCGGAAACTACAGATAATATGGCGGATACTAACTACATTGGGGGAGGTACAAATTGGACTCGTCAGCGCAGCCCAGTCTCTTGTCGGCCGACTTGTAGCAGATGTACTTGGAATCAATACACTGTCCATTATTGCAAGTAAATTCATCCACTTCACACGGGCGGTGAACTGTCAAAACCACAAACAGCGTAAGGCATACCACTAAAGAAACCCTACTTCTCAACTTGAAGAGGGATAAAAGAAGGCGACAAGCTATTCAACACTAAAATTGCTTCCCAATATTTGAGTAACTACTTTGCTTTTTTTTTGTAAAGGTATTACGAAAGAAGTCATTTGACATGTTCGTTGTATAGCGAAATTGACAGCAGTTTTATTAGCATAGAAGCCCAATGCTTTCGATTACTTACAGCAGTCTGTTTCGTCTGATACATCCGGACAGTCACGGAAGTAGTCGCACCAATAAACTTCCGGTATACATGGTCCACTCTTACAGTGTCTGTAGCCAGATGGACATTGTATTTTATCTTTTGATAGAAAGAAAACGAAACAATAACCAGAAACAATGAAGTGATTTGTAAAGAAATTATGTAAATTGATCTGAATAAGCAAATTACACGTATACTAATGGAACGCCAAATTATCACATATTTAAATATTTGAACCTTTCTTCAAATAATTGTACCTATCTTCAACTTCAAATGATTAATCAATGTCCAAATTAACTGAAGACAGATGCAAATGAATTAAAGATATGTCTAAAGGAATAGATGAATAGGTATAATTGATTTTAAGATAGGTACAATTGAATAAAAGATGAACCATATGGAGATAAAGAACAGTATTCAAGATCAAAAATCCATAAAACAATACAAAATAGGAGCAGAGCAAACACGGACTTCCAAAACATCAGAGGTGGGATCAGGTGCCATGGAGGAGTGAGCATCCCTTGCCGACCGGTCACACCCGCCGTGTGTCCCCTCTCATGATCGGGAAATAACGAGAAAATCCGTCGTCAATTCAGTGTTTGAATAATGGACTAACATTAGCATGAAAAACGTCAGTCAGCATTTGACTCAATGATAAATTGTATTCGCTGACAGTCAATTTATCGACCATAGAACTTACAAAATGATGACTTTAAACGAAACTGCTGATATTTTTGTTTTATCAACTTGTTTTTCATTAAATACCCTCGTTTTAGAAAATGTTCGTAAGTAGAGCATACTCTTGCGTCATATCAACTGAGATATAACTCCGTATGCAGGTGATAAAGGTACATGTATACTGCTGCATAAGTAAGGGAAGCTGACGATAGAAAAGTTATACAGTCATCACGTTTATCACAGAGCTTAGTTGTTAGATTACCATTAATATCTTTTTCAAGTAAAATATTCAAATATCTAACAAATGTGTCAGACTCTGTGGTATCTTTTATCTCAAGCTCACGAGGATATATCGTATCGACATAATTAATATATACATAGGTACAAGTGATTTGAAAATGGGTACAATTGAAACATATCCAAAACGGAATTGAGGAGGTACGAGGGGTGATCAAAAAGTTCGCAAACTATCTCTATATCTACAAAACCACAATTCAGATAAGAATGAAATAGGTACACACATAGCCATACACAAGGTCTATAAATAGCATATGTTGAATAAAGTTTCTCTCCTTGTTTGTGACGTCACAATGTGAAAATGACGTCACTATTTAGGTCACTTGTGACGAAAAATGGTTGTCTCAGTCGAACTCGTTCAACAAACGACTGTACAATTTATTGTACTATCTTAGAAATCCCTCTACAGTATCATATAATAATTTGTACACAATTTATTGAGATAAATGAGTTCCTATAAATTCAATTAATGATTGGATTAATCGTTTTAGTGAAGGAAGGCTGATGGTTAAAAATGATACTTGTCATCTTGCCCAATGAAAGCAAGTTTGAAAAGATATGTATTTTTAATTAAGCAATTTGCTATCAAAGACCTCCAATTAGCACTTTGAAAAATAGTTGAATATTTGAACAATGATATAAGTATTAAATACCTAAGATATCGTTTACTTTAGTTTTTAAACAAATCAGATATTAGATATGATAAAAAGGATGCACCCATTCTCTATCCACCTTGAATAAAGGTCTCTCCTGAGACAGAAGATTTGTGTTTTAATGGTCGCCATGCTTATTTTTGGAAAGGATGTTATTATCCACCCATTCTGTTGCCGAGATATGACCATTTCTGACAAATTAACTGTTCTTGTCATAAAAATTAACTCACATGGAAAGAAATATAAAACTCGGAAAAATCTTGTAACTTTTGTGATAGAACGCTACGGAGGGGGTCACGTGACCGCCAATATCACGCGATTCGCGCACGCGCAGAACGGTGGTTGATGTGCATTAAAATCGGGGAGAATTAATTTAAAATATAATCAACATTAAAACCAAATATTGTTTCTTGTATGGAAGTTATTCAATTAGTTTGCGAACGTTTTGATCACCCCTCTATTTCAATTTTACCTAATGTTCAATTCTTTTTCTACTATTGAAAATAATGAAGTCTCCCTCGAACAGCAACTTGAACATGAATGGAACTGCACAAAGCATTTGTTCATGTTGTTATTGTCAGTATCTTTATAATTTATGATAACAGATGGTTTGACGATATATACAGTTGATTTTAAGATATGAACAGTTGATTTTAAGTAAGGTACAATTAATTTTAAGATAGGTACAATTAATTTAAAGATAGGTACAGTTGATTTGAAGAAAGGAACAATATGTTTTTAAGATAGGTACAATTGATTTTTAGATAGGTACAACTGATTTTTAGATAGGTACGATTAATTTTAAGCTAGGTGAAATTGATTTTTAGATAGATACAATTGATTTTAAGATAGGTACGATTAATTTTAAGCTAGGTGCAATTGATTTTTAGATAGGTACAATTAATTTTAAGATGTGTTCAATTGATTCGAAAGTAGGTACAATTGATTTGAAGATAGGTACAATTGATTTGAAGATATGTACAATTTATTTTAAGATAAGTCAATTCATGTTAAGCTAGGTGCAAATGATTGAAGATTCGAATATTTGAATATATGTTAATTTGACGTTCAAAATCAAATAGCATATGATAAAAATTTAGGTATCAAATAAAGTTGTAAAGCTATCCTTCAGAAAATAAAAATGAGAACTGATATTACTGTATGACTAACCACAATCTTCCTCGTCAGATCCGTCGTAGCAGTCCGCCCGTCCGTCACAGCGGGACGAGGAATCAATACACTGTCTGTTCTTACACTCAAACTCCCCTTGTTTGCAGTCCCGGAAATACTTTTCTAAGATAAAAATATAATGAAAATATTTCCCTTTCATAATTCACAGGAACCTGATATACATCAAAAGAATGCTAAAATTTTATGTGATAGATCAATGAAATTTTCACTTTTCAAGTTTGATAAAATTCTCACCGAAATCCAATTAAATGCATCCTCATCTATTTTACAGTTTAAAAGTAGTTTCTAGTCAAAAAATTCAAAACAAACAAATAACAAAGAGAATAGAATCTAAATCTAAACATGAGCTGCAAAAAGAAACTGTATTTCTTATTCAAATGCAAACTTATGGCGACTTATTTACGCCATCCACATTACTTTTTGTTAACACAGCATATATCATGTCAAGTCAAGATACCTATCTCGTCAAGTCATGATACTGGTAACTTTCTTGTTTGTCAACAAACGGCGACTTTATATCGTGTCCAGTCATGATAAGTAATGGTTTTTTGTGATGGTTATTTTATTCATGACGCAAGATAAGTCATTCAAAATAGCTACCACAACAAATTGTGATATCTCATCTTGACTTTACAAGATATAAAGTAAGTGTTTGTCGACAAACCAGAAAGTTACCATGACTTGACTTGATATGCTATGTTAAAAAAAATCATAAATGAATGTGATATATGAACATATAAATCTGGATAACATACATATGCCACCATACAAACTAAACAATATACTAAACAATGTTATTAATTTTAGTCTCAGTTGAAAATGATTGCATATACATGATGCATCATTTTCAACCTCAAATTGAAATTAATAAAGATATTATTCTAGAATTGATAATACTAGTACATAATTCTGTATTATTACAATGAAGCAAGAATTATAAATCAGCTGACAATGTTTTGATCATTTAATTATTAAATGATTATTTTTTTAAAATAAAGATTATACGGAAAGTAAACTAAATTCTCCATAAATTAAGCTTGTTATTATTGTAGAGACACAGTATTTGAGTAATAATTGATTTCCTTGCTAAAAGTTTATTTTTGTCTAATTCTTCTGATGATGCATTTAAATAAAACCTCATCTTCGACACTTTATAATCCCTTGCACTTCTAAAAGGGGGATAAAATCTGACATGCAACAGACAAAATAGCAAGGAATAAGTTTCGGAATAAGAAAATTCGGCATTTTTTTTTATACAAATGACTAGGTAAAATGACCTACTGTTGATATATCATTAAATTTTATATTCAATTTATTTCTACATTTTTTTACGGAAGCCCTGGAGGGACATTGACTTACTTGTTATGACTAATTTGTTATAACTTTTTTGTTTTGACTTATTTGTTTTGAGATTTTTTTTGTTAGTTCTGACTAAGTGAAGGTAAGCTATTGAGAACGATTTATTGTACTCTTGTAGTTAAACGTACAAAACTGATGTGATTACTAAATTTTTATCTGTTAATTACGGACGCCCTTGAGAGATATTGACTTATTTCTTATGTGTTTTGACTTATTTCTTATGTGTTTTGACTTATTTCTTATGTGTTTTGACTTAGTTCTTATGAATTAACTTTGAATTCTTGTTATTTTGAATTTGTTATGACAAGTTTAGTTTACAAAAAGTGGCGTGAAAGATGAAGGCAACGTATAGTTTCAGAAAAACTTCACCAAGTCCTTGAATTTATTACTAACGAGAAAATGAAATAGTAGTGATTGTCAGTTTGTCAATCATCATGCAAACTGGAAGTTACATATAAGAATTACGTAATAACTTTTAGAAAATAAGAATTAGTTATAACAACAAAAAGAATATTTACTTTAGAAATCACAACTATACTGGACGTTAAACTACAATTTGTTAATCAAAAACCACAGTTAAAATAGGACTAAATATCCTTTTTATCATAAAAGTTAGCCAATCTATAGGTTTTCAATAGCTTTCTTACACTTAGTTATAACTAGCTACGAAACATTCACAACAAATAAGTCAAAACAAAAAGGTTATAACAAAATTAATAAGTCATAACAAGTAAGTCAATGTCCCTCCAGGGCTTCCGTATTTTTTCTTCCAAAAATATTCTTGACATTATTATTTTTACCACACATTCTTTTATCCTCATCTTCGCCATTCTTACAGTCTATGAAGTAATCACACACCGCTTTATGAGGAATACAACGTCCCTCTGGGCAAGGGAAGTAATCACGACCAAAATCGCTACAGTTTTTTCCGGAAATATTATCTGAAAAAAAGAAACATCTGCTTCAAGCCAAACAAACGACAGACAAACAATTTACTATATTCTAGTTTGGTGTTTTTTGGAAATGTTTTCGGCTATCAAAAATAACTGTCTTATGTTTTATGCAACTTGATAACGATCTCTCAATCTTTATCTTCAATATTCTCACTTGCCAGACCACCAAAAGAATTTTCCTTCCGTGAGCAAGACTGCATGATTTGATCGTAAAAACGACAGCGAGAAAAGTGTCTTAAATAACACAGCAACACCTAGCTTATCTGTTAGGAATTACACGTTAATCTGCACATTCTGAGAGGTTACAACGTGCAAAAGACGCGATTTCGTAATGTTGAAGTGTAAATTAAAGGAAAATAAACTCAGAAAACTATTTGTAGGAAATGAACGGTAAGAAAACCTGTAAAGCATGCTAATGGCAGGTGCCACGAAAAATTACTACCTGCTTATTACAATCTTTGTCAAAACAAACTTAGTAAATGCACTGAAATATTGACGTCCGAATACAAGGCAAAATAAATTAACCAAAGTTAATTGGGTAGTGTTTTGCATTGTTGTTCTTTCAGTTGAATGATTTTTATTATAGAAGGATATCTAAACATAGCCCTCTCTACTTTGGTGCCAGTCATTTTTGTCATTTGTATTCTTGATCAATATTTGGTTATAGATCTTCGCAAACGAAATACCTTCAAATCATTTAACTCTTACATTACATATCAACAGCATAATCCGATTAGATACGTTTTTTGTATTATTAGTCCCAACCGGAGACACCGAAGAAAAGGGGATCCCGGTAGGAGAAATATTTTGCATATGCAATACTCTCAGAATACTTGTTTAAACTGAAATAATATTGTATGTGAAGTATGAAAGCCCTAGCACTGACTCTTTAAAAGCTATGTCATAGGTTAATGTTTGATGGTTTTTGGGTAAAAATAGGTCAAACTCCAAGTTCAAGTCAAGAGGTAAAATTTGATAGTACCCAAAGAAAGGTCTTGTCAAATGGAATACATGTACGCCTGTGAAATATGAAAACCACAGCCCCATCCACTCAAAAGTTATGAGAAAGGTTAAGGTTTTTGCGGGCAAACAGACAGACGGAAGGACGGGACAGACACGATATACCCCCTTCTTCGATTGTGGGGGCATAAATCTAATATCTGGGAAAAAAGCAAATCAAATCGTATGTATGCCACGTTAAATTAAGATAAAAAAGTTTTCGATAATCTCTAAGAAGAATTAAATATAATCAATGATAAAATTATCCCAATTTTTTTTCTTTTTCACGTAGACAGTTGAGAATAATGCATTAATTGAACATGTATTTATTAAAATTCAAAATGATTTTCAAGAATTGGTATAGATCATCATGTTTATATTGATAACAATTGTTCCTAAAGATTGCCAGTAAAACTTAAATTTTAAGACTTCTCATATTGAAACGGGAATAGCTTACTGTTTTATAGACCAACTTTCAGATTTCTAATGCATAATGTAGTTGCAACCTCTCGTTCAGAGAAAGTAACATGACAAATCTCCGGCTAAATAAGTGGAGGTTACTTACAGCTGGCCTGTAGTTGATAGAGACAGGACATCTCGTCAGACCCGCGTTCATTGTTGTAGCAATCATTCTGCCCGTCACAAAGGTACTTATTATCGATACATCTCTCTATCTTCAGCTCATACAGAGATTTACAGGCAAACGAGTCTTCAACGGGACAAACAGGGGCTCCTTACATAGAATACAAAGGACAATTTTACAAAAATAATCAACGTCTTTAAACAAACTTCTCGTTATCTTAAAAATATATCGATGCAGAAAACGATCTGACATCAGAAGAATTGTCAAAGAATAACAAAACACGATCGTATGTCAAGTCAAGTTATAAGTAGACCGTGACGTAACGTCTCAGTTGTCACTCACCACAGCCCATTTCATCTTCACAGCTTTCTCCGCAGTCACAGAACCAGTCACAACGATTGGCCATTCCTAGGCAACGCCCATTTCTACACCGGAAGCCATTTTGACAGGAAATGGTACCTAAAATTTGAGTGAAACATAATTTTTTGTGACAAACTTTGAAAAAAAGATGTCCGTGGGCTAAACATCTAATAAGGAAAAAGATGCTCTGTGCTCTACCAACTGATCTCTCTGATAACCAGCGATCGTACTTGTCTCACCACTAGAAGATACTAGTATCTACGTTGTTTGATAACTGTGATTTCGAATTTTATTTTTTCGTTGACTATTGGCAAAATTTGCAGAATGTATACATACACTGTACGATTTCAGTTCGCTAGATAAGCAATAATGAAAATTGCAGTTATACATGTTCTATCTATCTCATACAATTTTAGATAGGAACAAAATTTGAGATAACCCTGTTAAAATTTTGATTGATTTCTTGCCCAAATTGATGAGTGATAAATTGATGATATCTCCCCGTTGATGCATATGACCTATGCTCGCACTTGATACACATAAAATTTCTATCGGTGCTGGTAAGACCTAGCTTAAAAATGACGAATGTTAACCCCTTTCTCTGTCTCTCACTCTACGGATTTTTTATTGGAATGTAATGAAACGAAATGTATATTGTTGCTGGAGTAATTTCTTATGATCTATATTATGCTACTTTATCAATGCTTCATACCAGATAAGTAATATTTTAAAGATGTTTTAATTCTTTCAATAAATTTCAATTTCTTTTTTAGTAAATGAAGCAGATACTAGTAAGCTCTTTGTATCGAATCTTTGTAAGTCCTATATAATGTACATGTCCAATTTATTTAAAAGGTATAGCTATCGACAGTAAGAAGATTAATACCTCAAACAAAGATTTTTACACGATGACATTAGTGTGATTTGGAAACGGATATTCTGAATTTTATTTCCTTACTTCTTTATAAGTTTCTTTTCTAGATCTGTTTTAAAGGGGTTTTTTTTTCAAAAGAAAAAAAAAAACCAAAATGCTTTCAAACATTAAAGCTTGTTTTTCTGTATTCTCTTTAAAATCAATAAAGATTTTCAGGAAATAAACAGTGCATTTTGGACGAGAGGAAGTACATTTAACATGTTTATGTTTGTATGAAGCTATTTTTAAATCGATGAAAAAAAAAGATTTTGAAAAAAAAGACTGTTTTTTTTATATATAAGATTATGATTTATTCTTTAAATTTGAGGCATGTGATTTAAGGTTGCCAAATATAGCCTTCAAAGATCTAGACTCACATTATCACGATATTCACAAAATCATCGTAAAGAATTACTATGGCAGGATAAAATCAACAACCCAAATGCTATAATGAAACATCTTTCAAATATTAGTCAAAGTAAACTCAGAATTATATATAAAATAATTATTATGTTAACAATTAAACAAAAAAAAAAAAAAAAAAAAAGCAAAAAAAAAAAGCAAAAAAAAAAAAAAAAAAAATTTAAAAAAAAAAACAAAAAAAAACAAAAAAAAAAAAAAAAAAAAAAAAACAACCCAGCAACAGGTTTCTCTTTATGGAAATTTAATATTCATTAGTCTTTTCATTGCCATCTTTTAAAAGAAGATGGGCGAACAAGGCGGGCAGAATGCCTATAGCGTCAGATATTAAGAAATCATATCAAATATGTGAATTGATTATTTAAATTAACTTATAATTATTTAAATTTTTGAAATTATGAGAAAAAAAACTTTTCTCAGAGAGAAAAAAATCTCATGAAAAATTTTCTTTCATAAAATTATTAGATGGTATTCGTGGGATTCGAACCCTAGCAATAAAAATCCGCCGTATCAGTAGCATACTGCTTTGAGACTAACGCGTTAACCACTATGCTACACCACTCATGGTGATTTCAGGCATTTAAATCATGTTTGTGATATGACCCGCGACTTTATGGACTTGAAGTATTTCTCGGAAAGATGCTTATGTTGTGTCATAAAAGTGTACTTTTAAGGTATAGTGGGTCTTCTCTCCATGTTTTTGAACAACAAAAAATGTGTATTTTATTGCACACTTTTAGGATCATCTTTCAAAAAAATGGAGAGAAGACCCACCCATATTGAAAAATTTTGTTTAAGTATGAGAAAATGATCGTTTTTCTTCTTTTTAGTGTGTGTAAGCTTTTTCATAGGCATATATTTTCAGTCTTTGTGAGATTTTTGTAAATTGTAGAGATTTTACATAAAGTATACTTTAATTTTAGATGAAATATCGAGTAAAATTTGGATTCAATTGGGATTAAAATTTTCACTTCTTATCTGTCGCACTATAGGCATTCTGCCCGCCTTGTTCGCCCATCTTCTTTAAATAAAAGCAATTCATTATTACTCAGCTTTCCAAAATTCCCTGGCATACTCAACAAACTAGACTGTGACATAAGTATAATTTTTTTTAAAGATCTACAGGACATCACTAATCATACAGCAAAGGAAAAAAATGTCTTCTGTACGATATAGAAAGATAACTAACAGCAGTCAAGCTCAAAAGCCTATAAAAACAATACGTATCGGGAGCAAAGCAAACACGAATCTATTAAGACAACAGAAGTGGGATTAGGTGTCATGGAGAAGTAAGCATTCCCTGCCGACCGGTCACAACTTCTGTGTGCTCCTTGTCAGAGTCCAGGGAAAAATCATTAGACTAATCAGTGTGTAAATATTGGCTTAACATTAATATGAAAAACGCCTGTCAGCATTTGACTTAACGATAATTGTATTTGCTGTCGGGTTCATTGTACCGACAAAAGATCTGATGATTTAAACGAGATTGTTGATATTCTTGTTTTATTAACTTCTTAGTCAAAAGATTTTTTTTTTATTTTAAAAATTGTTCGCACGTATAGCTTGCTACTGAGGGACATAAACCCTATATGCAGGTATAAGAGTATATTGCATTATAAGTCAAGGAAGTTGGCGGTAGCAAAGTTAATATCAACATGTTTTTACAACGTTTTCTTGTTAGGTTACCATTGAAAAATATCCAAATATGAAACACATACAAAAATCTTATTGAATATTTACAATCAATGATATGCCATAAGATAAGATGCAATTCTGTACATATATGTCATTGAATACATCTCTGGGAAATATATTTCTATACACATACAGAAAAGAAAATGTCGGTCTCATCTAGGCTTTCCGATAACATATGCTAAAATTCAGAAACCTCTTGCATGACTTTGGAATGCCACTTATCATATTCCATAAGATGGTTTGCCTAAGGAAGAGTTTTGACAATAATTCTGTGATGAAGAATTGTATTTACTAAAGCATATCCTCTTAAGAATAATTTAAAATCCATTTTTTGGAAAACGAGATATGACTGGTTGTGTTCTGGAGAAGTACAATTCTTATTTTCGAATATTTGACTAACCGGGGAGCAAAAGACATATTTTAATTGTAATTGAGCCATGCTTAACTACTGCGTAATTGTTGACTGCTGCCAGAACAGGGCCTAAGTATTTTTGAAAAGGAAATGGCCAAAACAACAAAAACAATCGAAGAAACAACTATTGCCTTTTAGGGTGTCAAATTTAACATGTTTTCGATTGTGTTTAATGCTCCAAAATACATTTTTTAATTTTTTGCACCTAGGTAAAAATTAAGCTGGTGTACCTTTAAGCCGTGATAAAGATCCTGTATTAGCTTAGAGAGGTGACAGCAGCCACGGCGAGGACTATGCAATGGACAGCATAACTAGATAAAATTGTTCCGGATACCTAATGATTAATAGGGATTTTTGTAAGTTTGACAGAATTGCAGACACGGTGACCAGATAAGAGGGAAATGGCGTGTTTCAACCATGACAAGATGACATGCAAAATTACAACAAGCCAACCAATTCCATTTAAAATGTAGAAACCTTCGATTTAGATCGACAGGAGATAAATAACAATACCTTTGGAAATAAAATAAATCAAATTTGTTCAGAGGCAGCATGACTCAAAACTTACACAAATCAGACAAGTGCTTTTATAGTTTACTTTCCCTGGGGGTAAAATCGAGGGATTTCTAATTTTGTGGAATGGCACCGACAGGAATCTGTTTAATAAGAACTTCACAAAATCAGATAATGATATGTATTAAAACGTATTCTTTTCGTTAGTATTCATTGATGCATCTATTCTGTTTGTCATTGCCTATTCCAATGCTGTAAGCCTCTCTTATTGAGGAGTTTTGTTTTCAAAAGAAATACATATTCCAATACAAAACTTATATCCAACGTTAAGCTTTTACATTTCGAAAAGGGTATGGTTATCACCATCCTGTATATAAGATACGAGAAAATTGGAATATTTATTTTGATATCAATTTTCCCCAAGCATGCAATAGCCTAAGACTATACATATTTTTAGGTTAATTTAAGCCTGACACAAAGAAAAAAGTCGACCAGGCTACTTGTACTTTAGCACGCTGTTCAAACAAAATTAACCAATCTGTCATTTATGCAAATGTGACAAATAATTTTCATGTTTTTGAAAATAAATGCGTAGAAAATACTCCAATTAACAGCTTATATTTTTTTAATTCAAAAAATAATTCCCTTGTCCAATATAATTGATACAGACGTTTTTTAATTCAAAAAATAATTCCCTTGTCAGTAGGCATGTTATGTAGATTTGCGCAAAGGTCATTTTGCGCGCACGCACAACACGTTTTTTGAAACTCATAATATAAAGTATATATTAGTAGTACAGACGTGATGACATGACAAAATCTTTTGAAATTTTGAATATAGTCATACATTAGGGAGATCTATAGCCTGATATAAAACAATTATCATGAAAGCATGTGCATGCACGTGTGCTTGCAAGAGTGCGCATTAGAAGACAGTTTAATCAAAAATAGAGGGATTAAGTGAAATTGAAGAGACTTTCAGTATTATTTTGTCCGATTACCAAGTTGCTGTTTTACAGTACTATTACTGTCACTGTTTTACATACATATAGGAAGAAACTGTACTCATAAAAATTTCTAATTCTGAATTAAAATAGCGATACATGTAACAACATAATGATCATGAAGTAAAGGTGATACTTTGTGAAGATCGATATAAATAGTCTGGACTAAGAAAAAGATAAACAATCCTTCCAAATAAAGTTCAACAGCCATTATCGTATAAGGCTAATAGTTCACATTCTAAATGTGTTTTTAACATGAGATCTTTGAAATTTATTATAAAAATCTCCAAAATCTTCAATATGATCCTAATGAGCATGAAAACAGTTTTAAAATGTAAAAATATATGAAAGTCCTCGACTGATTAAAGGTTCAAATCTGTCTCCATGACAACCCATTATTTCATTTTTTAATGTAAATCATTTAGATGTTAAAATCTTTCAAGTGTTTAACTTAAAAGAAATTCTATCTTTTTATATATTTTTATATATTTGAAAGCGATAAAAACATCGTAAATAACCACTGAAATCATTTTTTCTTCATTTCTGACTTTTGTTGATTTATTATTTCAGCTTTCCATTTAGAAAGAATGAAATTCTAATGCATCGACTTTTAACGAACAGCTTTTCTTGTAAATCCTTTAATAATTCTATTTGTGTGAGGGAAAACAGAACATGTAGCCCATAATTTTTCAGCAGAACTTTGCCCTCAAAATTATGTGTTGAAAAGGTGCAATTTTGAGCAATAACGGAAGGGAACAACTCAGAATAGTAACAGGGTAAAAATACTGCTACTAATGATCACTCCCTGTATTTATGCTCTTTAATGATCTCTTCAGAGATTAACGCAAAATCAAAGTAGTATTATTAAGCTGTCTAAATTAAGACAGATACATTTTTTCAAACAGATAAAATATGTCCTATATTAGAACACAGGAACTAAGTTTATAACGGGAAGAAAATGTATAGCTTTACCAGGAATCAAACCCGGGACTCCTGCATCACTAGTCAGGGGAGTCGATATCCACTGCTAAAACTTTTACAATAATCCCTTCTTAAATTATCTTCGCCTCGAAGACACAACCCTGACCTTAACCTGCAAGTACAGGGATGGTCAAGGACTCCATGTTCTTAAACAATCTGAGAGAATTCCCATGGGTACCAACTGCTCTCCGTTAATTGCAGACTTGTTTTTGTATTCATATGAAGCAGAATTTAATCAAAAACTTATTCAAGAGATGGAGAAAACACTTTGGTATTCTGGTCTTTAACTTGAAATTAAGATTATTCTGGTCTTTAACTTGAAATTAAGATTATATCAAACACGTTTACATTTAATCAATTAACAATAATTACTTCCATTTATATGTCGACTCTACACATCCCAGTGAACTTGAAATAAAATATACCATAAAATCTGTTTTTTGTCTAGATATTTAAAGGGAAAAAGACGTTAATTATAACATAATCACAAAAATTAACAAATAAACGTAAATACTTTATTTTTTCAGCTTTTCTGACGAGTATAGCAATTTATTCGTATCATTTGCTTATGCGGTTTGTGTCTCCTAGTTAATACTAAAGAGTATGTTCTACGATCGAACAATTTCCAAACAAGATATTGATTAATAAGTTGAGGTTGATGAATCAAAAATATAATCGGTCTCGCTAAAAGTCATCACTTTTCTAGTTCTATGGTCGATATAATGACTTTGTCAGCAAGTACAATCTATCATTCAGTCGAATACTAACTGACCTTCTTATAGCAATTGTTAGACCTTTATTCACACACTGAATTGTTTTTGGATTTTCCGTAATTCCCATCATGACTAGGAGAACACGTTGCGTGTGACCGGTCGTCTCTTTCATGGCACCTGATCACATGTCTGATGTTGTAGAGATCCGTGTTCTGCTCCTGAGCTCTATTGTTTGAATGGACTTATGCACTTGAAAACTGTGCAGTATTTCTATATTTTATATAATTTATACAAGATTCAAAGAAGTGTACGAATATGTCGAAACTTTTATTTATACTTCTTTATCCTGCTTACAGCTGTTTTTACATGAATTTTGTAATAAATTCATCAGTGTAAATATAAAATTGCTAGATGATATTTTCACGGAAATTGCTTCTGACTTATAAAAAAGTGAAAGAAATCATCCATAGTTTGAAGATATTCAGAGACTATGATCACAGTTCAAACCCTGTCTTCGTTAACTAAAAGATATGTAACTATAAAATTTCTTGACATTGTTTTAATTGAATTTTTCTCACTTACAGTTAGCCTCATCTGACTGATCCTCGCAATCTACGAATCCGTCACACACACTGCTCGGGTATCTATAAAAACCCGACCCACACCGGTGGTACAAGTCTGTAACAAATAAAAAATGAAGCATTTCATTATTTCTGAGAGAAACAGCAACAAAATAGGAATCTCATCAATCCTGCAAGCTCAGAGAAAATTTGCAACAAAACCTGCAACTCAAAAGATCCTGTAAGGTCAGAGAAACAGCAACAAAATCGGTAACTCAAAGATCCTGTAAGGTCAGAGATATGATATAGATGCATCCTTACGTAGTGTAGAATCAAATTTGTTAAAATCATTATCCCTATGAAAAGTGTAGGCAACATCTTAAAAAATATCCTCAAGAAGACATATGAATAGGAAAGGATTCTCAGTTAGAAAAGAATCAAATTTGTTAAAATAATCACAACTGGGGTAGGTCAGGCTATATCACACAGAGAAGAAAATGTTCTGAATAACAGGGCCATTTTGATTCAAGTGGGCGTGGTAGTCCATTGACGTCTTGATTTCAAACATGGAAAGACCATTCCACAAAATCTAAAACCATTTACATTATTGTTTTGTATAAATCCTGTGTATAAGTCATATTTTGTAGTACTCTATAAAAACAGGAAAACTCTTATATTTCATGCATTTAGAGATGCCCCCTCTGGAAACAAGACAGTAGAATTTTGTGTTTTTTACATATGATGTACAATAAAGTATTGCTCATCATAGATCATAGCTTGAGCAAAAAGTCTATTGTAGTATTTGTATAATTTGCTTTAAAGTGAGGAAAATCGGCACTTTCCTATACATGTATAATCCTATTGTTAATGTACCTGTATTTTGAGACGGTCCCTTAAAAATACATTGACGGTAGATTTTTCCCAAACTTGGCATGTACAATGAAGTCAATTTAAGTTATATATAGAATAATATGAGCTCCCTTATATAAAGAAATAATGAGTCGAATAAAATGGTTTAATTTAATTTATGGTCTCGCCCAATTCGCAAAATTTCTTAACGCTAAAGAGTTTTGGCAAGTCTGATAAATTGCATGATAAAATAGTCATCTTTAAAAGATATGAATTTTTCACAAATTGATGGTCGAATGTGACACTAGGCATTATATCCTAATAATTATTTTAAAATTTTTTACTCGCATAATTACATCATACGCACTGTATGGCTTTAATATGAGACACCATAGTTTTTAACTTATTCTCCGGATTTTTGCGATTTTTGGAAACGTTCAGATATTTATGTAACACTTACCGCAGTTTTCTTCATCACTTCCGTCAAAACAGTCCTTGATTCCATCACACAGCAAATCCAGGTTGACGCACTGTTTATTCCGACATTTAAACTGAGTGGGGTAACATTCGGGATAAGCTGTAACAATATAAATAGCGTCACATTTTATGTATGTTAAATAACGTAACAATCAGGGTATGCTGTAAAAGAATATTAAAAAAAAACACTTATTGAGAGTAAATTGTAACAAAATAAATAGCGTAACATCCAGTATTAAATAATATAGTCTGACACATCTGTTTCATATATTTTATGGGTATTTCACTAGAAAAGATCTATGATCAACGTGATGACTAACTTTTCTATAGTCATCCCTTATTATGCAGCAATACCTTCATGAGTTGCATACTGGTTTTATATCACCAAGTTGATTCGATACACAAGAGCCTGCCCTGCGTATGAACCTTTTTTTAAGACGAGGTAAAACATTGACAAACAAGTTGACGAAAGAAGAATATCAGCAGTTTCGTTAAAAGTCGTCAATTCGTAACTTCTATGTTTTTGTCAGCAAGTGCATTCTATCATTAAGTCAAATGCTGACGTTTGTCAAACTCTTTGTTAGACCATTATACAAACACTGAATTGTAAATGGGTCATATCTGTTATTTCACGATCATGACAAGGAGCACATGGCGGATGTGACCGGTTGACAGGGGATGCCCACTCCTCCATGAAACCTGATCCTATCTCTGATGTTTTAGAGGTCCATGTTGGCTCTGCTCCAAAATTTGTATTGTTTCGTGGACTTTTGAGCTTGAATAATGTTCGTTATCTCCCTTTATTTTATAAATAATATCATATATTCAATTCAATTGGGCGTTATTAAAAAGGTGATATCACGGATTCGAAATATTGATATCACATATTCGAATAGGTCACATCACCTATCGATTGGAAATTAATAAATGACATAAAATATCAGAACAGCGTCTCATGTGTCAGACTGTGGTATATTTAATTTCAAATTCGATTGTATGTTATACCTCGAGTCGACGTATGAATTGAAGTAACTATTGTTAATTGATAATACTTCGTCGAGACTAGTTTTTTTAGCCACCATCAGGTTTTTTCTATCATTTGATGACGAAAGCAGCATTTGATTGGTGCTTCAATTACTCAAAGTACTCGGACTAAATATCTTCTCCTCTCCAATAATTTTTGTGAGATAAAAATTTATTCTCTAACGAACTATACAATATTGTGTTTTTATAACCAAGATTAATGCAAACACGACCGAAGGCTTCAAATTAACCGTATTTTTAAAAATTATTTACCCACAAGGGCAGTTCATGTAGAGCGAAGTGAAATATGTCTAAATCGACACTCATTTAAAGTTGAAAACAACGATTTCGACGAACAGAGCTAAATGGGCGCAAAAAGTGATGCAGAAGTTGCTTCCATTGACAGAAAAGAACATACCAGTATATACTATGCAACTGACAATGTCATTCTGCAGTCTTCGATGACATTTTTAGACAAACTTGAACTGCTTAACACTAATGCCCCCATCCCCAAAAATAATTGGAATTGTTCTACGTCCAAGGGGCATAAATCTGTCAAAAATGGCAGGATCTTACCCATAACAAAACTTGACCTAGATACGGCTGCATTTCATTTCCGGAATTTTTGGTAATTATCATTTTTTCATTTCCGACATTTTTCATTTTTCATTTCCGACATTTTTTTGTTTTCATTTCCGACATTTTTCAAATACATATGTAGTACTTTTAGTAACAGATCTGAATACTTTACTTATGAATAATTTAAAGAAAAAAAAATCATAAATAAAAACATTGAAATCCGTTATCCGTTATCCGAGTTTTGTAAATCTATCAATGACTTGGACATAAGTGTGAAACTGTCACTGACATTTAATTTAGTGCACATTAGATATGATGAAAAACTTTATACTCATCAAACTCTTTTATTTAGAGCTACGTGTATGCATATATATGTGTAGATGTTTTTAATCAATATTCTGTACTAATACTTTTAAATTCCATTTTCACTTACTTAGAAAACATTGAATTGTCGCACAGGTGAATTCCGGAAATGAAAACAAAATTATGTCGGAAATGAAAACAAAAAATGTCGAAAATGAAATTAAAAAATGTCGGAAATGCTATGCATATTTCCGGAAATGAAATGCAGCGCTAGATACTGATCTGATAAATCTGTATACCAAATTTCATTTCAGTATGTATAACGGTTGTGAAGAAAATGAACGGAAAATAAGTGGACCGACAGACCGACCACAAACAGACCGACAGAAGGGGGCATAAAAATTCATTTTGATGGTATTAATATGGTTTTTAATGGACCAAACAATATGTAATTGTCAGCCCAAAATAAAACAATATTAAACCAAAGTTAAAGACAATTTAATCCATCATTGGAAACCATTTTGTCCGGAAAGTGCTTACATGTGTATCAAATGTTATCTACCTAACACATTGGAGAAATACGGCACTCTGATGCTAAGAACTTGATTCTTCAACATGAATTGTGCAGTGAGATATGGAAGTCGCGGAAATTAATTCAGATGTAACTTATAATTAACTTCTCTTCACAAAAGGTTTGATTAGATTTGTAGAATTAAACAAGTAAATCGCTAGTCAGCCGCGAAATTAGTTGATTTTTGTTCGCGATCTTGTACATACTGCCAGCATTCATCAATTTCCAACTCTGGTTTATAAATCGATAAGAAAAAAAAATAAGTAAGTTTTCTATTGTGAATACCCCCATGGTTTACGTTATTCAAAAAGTGTCTAAAGCAATTGCCGTATTAGACCATTACAAGAGAAAGTAAGATGATGTATCGAATAAATCAGTGGATTTATTCATTAATTGTGTAATTATTTTGAAAATTTTCTTCATTAGTGAAAGGAACTCCCTTTAAAAGTCCTATTATGGAGAAGAGCTTTCAGTGATTTGGCCCTTGTGGCCTCTTAAAGAAGTCGCTAAAGAAGAAAAAGAGAAACGTTGTTTTCATTATTGGATCCCACTCTTCACTAAAATTCTCATTCTGGATTCCTCTTCGTCCTAACATTATAACCTCATAAATTACGGGGAATATAAGATTATGATATTTAAAGTTGAAATTCAAATATATTTTGAAGTATTATTTTTTGAATTTAAAATATTTTATGTACAATTTACAATAAAATATTTTACGAATATATCTACAGGAAGAGGATTCAATCCGGATATAAAAAATGAAAACTTTAAAGTAACTCTTGTTAACTGATTAAGTGTTAATTAGACATAAAAAAATTAAAGTTTTAAGACATTATAAAGGAAATTTGGATGTAAAAAAGATACATAGCGGGTTCTAGTTAATGTTTAATCATGCCTCTTTCTTTACCCCCAACTAAGATATTAACAGTAGTGAAGGAGAAACTTCAAAAATACTGTGCAACAATATATTCAAGAAGTAGTGTAAATCAGATGTGGATACTTAAAAATTCCAAGGAACTTTTGGATAAATTGAAATCACAAGATCTTAAGAATTCAGCAGCTTAAAAACTTACGACTTTTTCACTTTATACACAACCATTCCCCAAGATAAATTAAAGTCCAGGCTTTTTGATAGCACTGACAGCTGCTTTTTCAATAAAAATGGATCTCGTAAATTTACTCATCTTGTCACTTATCATTTGCAAAATTATTTCGTTAAAAACATTCTGATTGTACACACAAGTACTCTGAAGTTGACATAAAAAAGATGCTTGAGTTTCTGATTGACAATATCTATGTTGTTTTTGGAGACCAGGTCTTCTAACAATCTTTTAGAATTCCCATTGATACCAATTCCGCCCCATCGTTATTAACAGACCTATTTTTGTGTTCATATGAAGCAGAATTTGTCCAAAATCTTACACGTGACAAGAAGAAATCACTTGTTCTGGCCTTCAACTCGACAATTAGATATATCGACGAGGCATTGCCGATAAAATGACCTTGTCGGCAAATAGAATTATCACTGAGTCAAATGCTGACTGGTGTTTTTGTACTTATTGTAAGTTCATTATTTATACACTGGATTGACGACGGATGTTTCCGTTATTTCCCGATCATGACAAGCACACGTTAACACGTGTGGCCAGTCAGCAGGGGATGCTCACTCCTTCATGGCACCTGATCCCACCTCTGATGTTTCGGAGGTCCGTGTTTACTCTGCTCCTATTTTGTATTTTTAATTAGACTTTTGATCTTGAATGCTGTTCATTATCCATATGTTTCCTGTAATTGTTATATTCCTGGTTCATCCGTTTCTTTGCCGTCCGTCATATATTTTTTCCCACAAAATACATTTAAAGTAGCAGCCTATTCATCGAATACACATAGGGTCGGTGGTGTCTTGAATTAGTGCTTAAAGATTTTGACATGTTCATTTTCGCTAAATTTTATTCTAAGGGGAGTTGAGAAAAAAAACTGTTTTCCTGAAGTCCTCCTACACTTTTCTCAGTTTCCATTGACATTTGGAATGCTATTAGAAATGTCATCTCGACGAACAATTTTTCTGAATTTTGATTGCACATGAAAGTCACAAAAATGGTTCCCTAAAGTTTCCTAAAATCTTTTAAAATTTCTATTTAAAAAAAAATATTTGTATTTATAACCCTCCTTTGAAAAAGCTATCGAGATGTCCGTTTAGGTATCTGTATGTCCGTACCTATCTCTCATTTGCTAATCCTCTTTTACCAATGAATGGCGTTTGATGAGACTTTCACAGAATCTTTGTTACACAGTGCCATTGTGACCTCCTATTGTACTTTTTGATTAGACATATATTTTGGGTTAGAGCAAAGCAGAATGGCCATTCTTTCTATAATATTGAAGGGTACCAATCTCTTATCCGCACCTCCTCATATACCACTGAATAAGATTTAATATTTTTTTTCAGATTCTTTATTACAATTATGCTTTTGTGACCTTTTATTTTACTTTTTGATCTGACACTTATTTCAGATCTCCCAGAATAAAACATGGACTTTCTTTCTTTTGGAGTAGTAGGGGTACAAAAACGAAGTTTACCTACTTAGACATTGTTCCCTGAACTCCTCTTTCAGTTTTGGAAATTACCAAATTATTTTTTTCATGTACTCTGTTTATGCGCAAAACGGTTTTTGAAAAAATGTTTTACTTGGGACTATGTAAAAGAATATTATTTTGATCAGAAAAGCTTACTTAAGCCAACGGTTCAGGTGAGCTAAAAAGGGGCTAGTGAAAAGATCACTTTCTGTTGTATTGCCAATATCAGGGAGAAAAGCATTTGCTATTCATTTCATATCGTTTTTCATTTCTATATTCTTAGTTCGTTAAACTGGAAATAAAAAAAGTATTGCAGATGCATCAAATAGTACATCATGCTAGATTCAACATACGTTTTGGCCACGCTGTCAGATCGGACTTATGGTCCACTTATAAACTGATGATTAAGATTGAGAGCAGAAAGTTTGATCCCCGTTATCTTAAACATGCTGAGTCTTTCAATATCTCTCAACAGTTCTATCTGTAGAAAATTCCTTGTTTTTTAACTTCACCCAAATAAGTAAGAGTGAGTGCTTAGACTTGCGAGCTACAGGTGCTTGGCACAACCGCCACCCATTTTACACTTTGTGCCCAAAGAGTTCTATTTCGTGTCTTTTTTTCAAAGAATTACTACATATAATAAAAAAATTCAAATATGGTTTTAAAACTTCACTCATTGTTACTAAAGAAAGTAACTTAATCATTTTAAATTTGACAGTCAACGTTTTGCAACTAAATTGGATATATATTCTAAAAGTGAAGATGAAAGCTACTTGTCAATCTGATTTAAAGGTAATTATATCTTTTTATGTTAAATTTACTTGATACATATTTAATTCGTGACCAATCGCAATTTTCAGTGAAGGTAATTTTATATTTTACACCAGCGACGGTTGACGTAAACGATAAAGAAATACACAAACAATTGATAGAAATCATAAGTACAGAAAAAGATACAAAAACACACGTGGTAGTATATTTTGATAGAAGGATGAACAGTATCATTAAATGTAATCATTTCGTAAGTTGGTCGATACAATGACCTTGTCATCCAATACAATTTTTTATTGAGTCAAATGCTGACTGACGTTATTCAGACTTATTTTCAGTCTATTATTTATACACCGAATATTGACCACGGATTTTTCCAATTTTTTTTATCATGACAAGGAGCACACGGCTGGTGTGACCGGTCGGCAGGGGATGCTCACTCCTCCATGGCACCTGATCCCACCTCTGATGTTCAAGAGGTCCGTATTTGCTTTGCTCCTATTTTGTATTGTTTTATAGACTTTTGATCTTGAATACTGTTCGTTATCTCCATATGTTTCATGCAAATTAATAAAGGAAATACAATGCAGGAGTTTATCAATTGGAGGTTAATTAACATCGATCTTGGCAAAATAAAGACAAAAAAAAAAGAGCAGATTCGTGATTCTAAATTTATCGGTTGACATCAAAGTCTAATTAAGGGTTTGTTGAAAATGAATACTTAGTATACAACGGTAGGTGAAAAGAGGTTAATACTTTTCTGAAAGATCAACCTTTACGAAAAGTATTTCGTACAAGGCCGGCTCTGTATGAAATTATGTTTAGAAATTGTGTCCTTGATGTATTTCAAAATCGACTTCAACTTTGAAATTCTAAAATGTACAATACCATATATTAGCCTATGAGTCGGCCCGCTTCAAAGTCGGTTAAGTTGCAATTGACCTGCTTACATGTAATTGTCAGTTCAACTTTTTTAACGCAATCATTTGAAAATTTTAAGTAGATCCCTTGATGTTTTAACCAGGTTTCAATTAAATATTTTTTCGACATGACGACGATATTTAATTTTAAAACATATGACCAAATAAGTTAAACACACTTAAGATACAAATAAAAATAGTTAAAGTGAAATATGTAAATATTTGTGCTTATATGTACAATCAAAGCATTTATACATGATTATATATATCAAGACTTCAATAATCGTCGGAAATGCATATAAAATACCACATTTCTTAATGACTCGTCTATAAGTCGGACATAGAGTTTTAGACCAAAATTTAACTCCCAGAAAAAAAGCGACTTAAAAGCGAGTATATATGATATTCAGATAAAAGGTCAAATTGAGACTTTGGTGAATATTACATTGTTCACACATTTTGTAGATGACAAAAAGAAAAATCTTTCAAATGAGTTATCTCCCGTATTCAAAATTTCCACACTTACCACAATTGATTTCGTCACTGTTGTCTCCACAGTTGTCCTCAATATCACAAAAGTTGTCACGTGGTACACAGTAATGATTTTTACACTTCCCATGGGTAGGAGGACAGGCATACGTGACTATTAGTACATGAAATAAAAGAATTTTAAGAATTAAATGTCAGTTTTCTAAAATAAAATCTTATATGTATCAATTTATTTTCACGAAACATTATCAAAAAACATCAAGTTATAAGGATTAAAGTTGCCTGACATCGACTTTCAAGCAACATACATTCAGTTCAGAAGTTTATTCATTACAACTGATACATTTTAATAGAAAATGGATTTTTTTTTCCGAGTACGAAGTTCTTACTGCAATCTTGTTCATCAAGTCCATCAGTACAATCCTCGACCCTATCACACCTTCTGATCAAATCTATACACGTGGTGCTATTGCACTGGAATTCTGTGCTCAAACAACCTGTGGAAAAACAATGATTCTTTCACGACTTATGATAAGATCTAAACACGTAGTGTTACTACTTTAAACTCTGTGCTCATACAACCTATCGCAGGGCTTACATACAATATTTGTATATTAATAAAATCTTAACTGTTTTCGTGTTCATGCATGGAACGAACTCAAACTACTTATCATTTTTAATAATGCAACATAGCACTTCAAGTATATTTACTAGCACTTAGCATTTTCAAAATCAAGGGATTTTTTTTTATATTACGCTCCAATTTTTAGTAGTGAATTAAAGCTAAAGTCATAAATGCATCAGGAGTTAATCAAAGTCCATATGTTGCCACAGCTCATTTACACAAAATCGCTTTTTGTTGATTCGAAATAAACAGAAAATATTATGCATACAGCACATACGTCAATTTATTTTTTCTTTTTGTATCTGAGGGACAATGCAACGAAAAATTCTTAAGCAAAACAAGTCTCATAAATACCTACGTATCTGAGATGTAGACTTAAAAATAGCTATAGTAGAAATCAGAGATATATTTTGTTCGCGCCATTACCTTGGGGATGGTTATTGATTGTAAAAGACAGTTACTGCTGCTGATAAAATGCATCGATCACGGGAAACAAGAAGGAAAATTTGGCTCATCTTATCCCCCACCTGACTGACAAAACGTTTGTTTACTACATATCAGAGGTAGCGATGATGAAGTAAATATCGAACTGTTCACTTCAAACCAGCTGGCAGAAATACTCGACTCTCAGAAAGTGACAAGAGTCATAATGTACAATGATATTGTTTTGAAGCAATTATCCAGAATATAAAGAAAACGTGTCCAGAAATAAATGTCATTTAAGAATAACAATAAATTCTACTTATTAAGTTATCCTAGAAGAGAAGAAGATAAAGACTGATCAAATCACTGGAAAACATATTGATATATAGAAAATGCATTTAGAAGCTTCAAAACAAGTGGCATAGCAAATTATTCTTTCACAAGATTTATGCAGGCAGATAAATTATAATTTATGGAAGCTCAAATGCATAAAGTAATCCGAAACTTTCATCAAAAGAAGTTAAAGTTTTTTATTAGCTCTATCAATAGAAAAGGCAACCAAAGAGCATTGGGAAGCAGCAAGTTCTCAAAGAGCACGATACCAGAAACAGGGAGCTGATGCTTCTGGACAAAGTCCAACTGTGTTGTTGAACATGAATAGCAACGCTAAATCAAAACATTCTAATATTCACCAGAAACCACGTGAATGGGGGCTGTCACAGACTCAGACAAGTACGTTACTGAGAAAGAGTTCAAACTTAAAACTGGTGTCGTTTTACTATTTACATGTACTATAGATACAGTTACTCCATCTACATTACATGCGTGTATGTAAATCAATTTTAGACTATCTCTTTCAGGTAGGATCTTCTTTGGTTTTTGACTACATCAAATATTCAATGTATATTTACTTACATCGCATGCATTTAAATGTAAGAGATTTAAAAGATCACATTTTTTTCTTTTCTCATCACTATTGTACAACTTTAAATGGCAAACTGAGTTTGAAATCTAGCAGGGACTATAATTTTGGCGGAATGGTGGCGTACACAATTGTTATGAGCCAAAAATCATAAGAAAGTGTTTTTTCTCTCTTAGTAAACGTTCAAAACTTTTTGTTTTTGTATCATTTTGTATCTCTATATGACTTATTCACCATATATAAAAATAAGAAAAATTTATACATAGGACGCATATAAAAATAACTAATATATCCTTAAAAATTGAGAAAAAGAAAGAAAATTTGGATCAAGCAAAATTCATTTTGTAAATTTTTTTATGTCAATTTGGTATTTCATCTTAAAGACCCTAAATGGTAATATCTTTGTTATGCAAAAATAAATCATTTAATGTTTTGAAATAGAAGAAGGCATCGCATGATTATATAGATGCAGTAATTTATTATTCTTAATTAGCCAGGGAAAAGGTACATGTAATGATCTTGACCTGACCTTGCCTCTAATATAAAACGGTCCAAACTAATCTAACTAATACAATCACTAAGTGATATTGTCTTTGATTTGTGAAAATTTCAATAAACTTTTAAATACAAGAAATATATTTTGTATGATGAGAATCCCACCTAAAGACCATGTGTAATGCTAGTTTATTATCAATACATGTACAAGTACTAGTAGTTAGTTCCAGAATTCGGAGAATTTTAATTGCAACGGTACGATTTAAACTCAATAAATTCTAAAACTTAACTAACAAGGATTCTGAGAGTATTGCATAAGCAATACATGTCCCCTACCACGTTCCCCTTTTTCTCTTTATAGGACAAGCTCGTTTGGAACTTAAATTTAGTGCATTACCCGATCGTAATCCCAGTTATGAAAAATTAAAAATGTCATAATTCCGTCAAAAACCAATGAAGTGAAACGAAATTCAAACTTGTACTATAACTCATCAAGATACACTCACATCGCAAAAATCAGCTCAATACCTGCAACTGTTTAGAAAAAAATGCGGAAAACCAAGTAGGACAGACAGACAGCCGGACAGACGGAAAGACAGCTAGACGGACAGACAGACAGCTAGACAGACGGACTGAGAGACTCAGAGGAAACCTATAGCCCCCTCAGATTTCACCGGTAGGGGACTAAAAATTCTAAAACTTTACTGTAACTTCAGTTTTGCAACAATGTTTAATCAGTTTCTAGTTTTTGGGTGCATCATGTAATTTAATAGTTTTCTTAATTTCTCTATCCCTTACCACACGTGACTAACCTATATCCTATTTCCCATTTACATACAATCCACCACTCACGACTAACCTATATCCTATTTCCCATTTACATACAATGTATCACACGTGACTAACCTATATCATCTTTCCCATTTACATACAATGTACCACACGTGACTAACCTATATCCTATTTCCCATTTACATACAAGGTATCACACGTGACAAGCCTATATCCTCTTTTCATATAATATACCACAGGTGGCAAGCTTGTACATTGTTTAACGTCCCTTTCGATAATTTCGATAATTTTTCACTTATATGGAGACGCCACGACTTGCCGGTGGACAGTTGCAAATTTTGTCCTATACTCGGTATTTAGGGCCATTGAGCAGGGAGGGATCTTTTTCGTTCCAGCACCAACTGCGTCACGGGACCTCGGTTTATACTGTCTCATCCAAAGGACCGGTCTCCACGTCCCACAATGGGATTCGAACCCGCGATGTAAAGATCAACTCCTTACTTTGCGACTCTAGAGCAGACGCTCTAACCAATGCACCAAGCGGGCGACGAGGTGGCAAGCGAATATCATCTTTCCTTTTTACATGCAACGTGTTAACATCATTTATCCTCTATACACACATGCATCACACGCGACCATCTTCCATACCCTATACGTACCACACGTGGCTATATCCTCGTCCAGACCATTGCTACAGTCACTTACACCGTTACATTTGACCTGGTTTGGGACGCATTCTTGACTTCCCAGGTCACATATGAATACACCCTCGGTCAGACAGTCTGTTTTTGTTGGATTCTCTTGCACAAGTGAAGGGTCTGAAATAGATATTTTTAGCTCTGGTAAATAGTATTTATTTAAAAAAACCAAAAGAATGGATATCATAAAAATTGGAAGTCCATAACTGCTTTCAATTGTGAACTGGTGGTTATGAATTGGTTATATCTGCATTTTGTTTGCTGTATTCATATACATATACATGTAAATACATAAGCTTTATATTATTATGGCACCTAGCGCCGTTATCGAAGATCTTGGGATGAATGGGTACCCAAGAGCAGGGTTCTGCAAACGTAATTTTGCTGTGTTGGCCTCGATCGAAACGTAAAGTAGAAGGTATAAAATTGCATTATGATATAAAGATTCTGTGTAGTCTCATTTTTAGTAAGAGAGGAGTTCAGAATAAGAGATTATAGGTACCACCAAGTGTTACTTAGGACTTAAGGACAAATACTTATATACTGTATATACCAGATGTTTGAAAATTATGTTAGATTATATTGTGGTCTACATTAATTTGCAGAAGAAATATTTTTAGAAAATGTCATTTGAAAATTATGCATATCGATTCCTCGTAAGACGTAGCACCAAATTAATTTCTTACGGAGATGGAAGGATTTCTTTCGAAATATCCAGTTATATTATATTATATAGGGAAATTAAGGCACCATTATATATTTCAAGAAGCACTGAAACCATTCAATTTCGTAGAACTTCAATACTTTTTCATTAGGCGAAGTGATTTAATGGTCAAAATTATGCATAGCATTCCCTCCGTCTAGTAACAACATTCAGATGAACACAATATCTTCATTAATGCCTCCCCGAGTTCAAGATCTATAGTACTTATTAAGGTATTGAATCGCTGGCAAAAGTTTCAGGTTTCAAAAGTCAGGTACGTGTACGCACAAGCTATATCTAACAAAGTTTTCATGGGAGGCGATAAAAAAAATATAACCAAAATGAGTTAATTTTAAGGAAATTTCTGAAATTTAATTTTATTCCTTTCCACTTTAAGTAAAATTTGGTTGTTATGAGATCGACATTGTTTAATACGTCAGGCTAAAAACTTAATCTTTATTTCAAAATGTTTTTTTCGATAGAAATAAAATCTGGAACATATCAAATCATCAAATAAAATGAGCATTCTAATTTGTCAAATAATTTTCACAAAAAATTTCTACACATAAATGATGCTTAAAATTCTAGAGGGCATTACGAAATTTTTATAAGAAATTTTGAAATTATAGAAAGATTATAGAAAATTATATATGGTAGGATAAGTTATTACTCATCCAAAGACTTCTTTGATAAATTTATTAAAGGAATTTTATACGGTAGATCTATTTGCCTTCATACTTTATAAAAGTTCTTAAAACCTTAAATATTTTAAGTTGTGATTATCAATACTTACTTTTATTCGATTATATCACTTGATTGATAATGAATCTGTTTTCTTTCTCTTTATTGGGTGTAAATTACAATAAATTCAATATCCACAGAACAGAGGAAACCTTTGACCACGCGGTCGAATTTTCCGCAAATTAATATTGGCTTCTGTAATTTCCATATCAGAGACACTGGCCGTGGAACTTGTACTGCTTTCCGCTTTGGAATTCATAATTGTGCAATAACAAGTTCAGAGAAAGAGCCTATTGTAGAAAATAATGGATTCATATGAATAAAAGCATAGAACCCTGCTTTTACATTCAAACATAGGCCTTTCGAATTGTATGTAAGTTACCAGTAAATATGGACTATACTGCCTTCACTGCAATCTCTGAATGCTTTCATCTATATACAAGGTTCTTGCTATGAGAGATGCCCCGTTCATTTTCTTCAATAATCTAACAGCGTTCAAGAAACGTTTCTAAACCTTTTAAGAAATTTGCCCTTAACTATTAAAATCACATCGTAGAATGCGTATTTCATCGTAAAAAAAGGAGATTCAGAATATTTAAAAATTCTAGAATATCCAAACAGCCATGATGTATTTTGTAATCTAATTAACATACTTTCTCCAAAATCTCTGAAAGTTAGTTATGGAATACATAAGGTGGATAAATAAAAACGAAAATGTTTGCCAACCAAACGCCTGTGGAAATATTTTTAATTAATACGAATTGATCTTAAGCTAAAATTATTTGTGAGAAACACGTCATGTTAACAAAAACAATATACGATCTATCAACGGATATGCATTACATTGTATATCAAATAATGTTGTACTCAGTTTATGTCTGTAGTAAGTTGAAAATCAGTTTTATTTGCAAACTGTAATCCTTAATTAACATCTTGATTCTTTTAAGCTTTTTCAATATACAAATGTAATTGCATATATAGGATATGACCTTCCTGTTACATATCGTACATTTCATTGCATTTTTGTAAACAAAAGTTAATGATTATGCCTTTGAAGCTGTTGGTGTCCAGGTTTGATCAAAACTTTTTTCAAAACCTTTTTACAAACTGATGGCATGTCTAAATGATAACCTTTGACAAGATCAGGGTAATTGAAGGTTGAATTAATTTCTTACCATTTTCTGTAACATTAGTTTGGACAAACATCAAGTTTATATTTGACACAAGGGTTTCTTAAAATCAGAGGATGTTATTTTAATGAAACATACGGAGATAACGAACAGTATTCAAGATCAAAGGTCCATAAAACAATACCAAATAGGAACAGAGCAAACAGGGGACTCCAAAACATCAGAGATGGGACCAGGTGCCATAATGGATTGGGCATCCCCTGCCAACCGGTCACGCACGCCGTGTGCTCCTATTTACTATCGGGATATAACAGGAAAATCCGTCGTTAATTCAGTATAAAATAATGGACTACTTATTAGTATGAAAAACGTCAGTCAGCATTTGACTCAATGATAAATTGTATTTACTGACAAGGTAATTGTATCGATCGTAGAACTTACGAAACGAGAATGCTGAAATTCTTGTTTCATCAACTTGTTTGCCAATAACTTACCTCGTTTATAAAATGTTCATACGTAGAGCATGCTCTTGCATATCGAATCAACTGATATACATATACTCCATATGACGGTGATGAAGCTATATTACTGCATAAGTAAGGTAAGTTGACGATAGAAAAGTTAAATTCATCACGTTTATCATAGAGTTTGGTTGTTAGATTCACAGATTGGTTGTTAGAATCTCACAACAACTGAACCTCGTGCACTGCAGGACATTTGAATTTAAACACCTTTTTATATATAATTTGTTTTTGTAATCGGAGTAAAAATAATCTCCATATTTTTATTTTCTTCTATCCAAACTTTTTTTTTCTTATAGAATGATTCTAAAACTATTCTAATAGTAAAGTTTTTTTTTATTATTAAAGAAAATTTCATTTCTAACACCCATTTAAATATAAAAAATATTCCAAAGCATAGTGACGAGTTTAAATACAAAAATCATTCATTTTCACAAGACAATACTTTTCGGTTCGCTACTGCACATGTGGGGAACAAATTAGACCGAAAAGCCTGCGCTACCGAAAATAAAAAAAAATATGCATAAAATGGACTTAATTCGAAGGACAAAAGAGCCGTCTGACGTCATGTAAATCATCAGGAAACTTAATGGTTATGTTCTCTGAATAATAGACTGGAATCGAAACGTCATGTTAAAGAAACAAATGGCATGGAAACACATAGACTATATTTCAAAGACTCTTCAATGCCATCAAACTTGACGAAAATAGGTTATCTGAGCGCAGTAGATATCATGCAGGCCATTGCACCGAGAAACTCTATTTTTTAAAAATAAATTTTATCATTTTTTGCAGTGATTTTTTTAAAAATATACGAGTCAAAAAGTAAAAAAGAATGTGTCATGAGACATAACCAACTGGTAAAAAGAGATTTTTCGCCAGTTTCACTTCTAATGTTTTGCATATCTCCCTCAATGCCAATTGTAAGTCACATTATAGGCTTAGGGCATGTACGTCCCACGGAATAAAGAACTGAACTAATTATAAGCATCTAGATCAATAATTGATTTCTAATAAACAATTAAATCTTTGAAATAAATAGGTTAAAAAAAACTCCACTTAAACAATTCGATTTGGAAAGCATAATTTACAAGTATCCAATGTAGTTGGATTATGTATAATTGGATATGAGGATCACATCAAAGAATATCAACGATAGGTTTGTTGGAAAAAAGAGCTTTAAACTGGTCTGTAAACAAGTGCAGTAGACTTGTTACAGTGAAGTACCATAGGATCTGAAAGCTGGCTTTATATATTTCTTTGCTGTCAAAGAAGTACAAAAACTAAAAAGAATGTCACAAATATTTTTTAAATACGATTTTCATTTTGTTTCACTAAAAACCCCATAATTAATATTTCATAATTAATTTTACCTGTAGTTTGTTCTCGATCATTCTTAGAAATGTAGCAGCTGCTGTTTATAAAATGTGTCTAAGTGTTAAGAATGGGTTCAATACATTGGAATATTTTGAAAAACATTAAGATTATAATTCAAAATCCTCCTTGCCCCTCCAAAACCATAGGAACAATTATGTGGAGCATAACTTTGATATAATTCACTCGTTACAAAGCAAAACCAAATCTTGCAAGAAATGTAATTTGGAATTCCAACCTGAATGATGGAGTAATGAACTGACAGACAACGCAATTGAATGACCAGAGCCCACTTGCATGATTGTTAACTATTGCTTACCGACCCAACACCAAATTAATATAGGAATTCGTTAACTTTTAATTACATAACTCTCTTTTACCTAACTATCCTTCCTATTACGTTCGAAATCATCCTCACTCATATCTTGTATATTGACTTTGGATTTATACTAAACATGTGACCACAAAGCAGAGAAAATTGACAAATTAGTAACAGATTTAGAATATTTTATTTATGAGACTATTAATACACCATTACCTAATGTTAGGTTATAAAGGACTGCATTATTACATCTTCTTGTAGATTGTGTAACATTAAATCAATTCTCAAGTAAAAACACTTTTCTCCTTGTCTTAGTTTATGTAACGATACATTTAGCGAATCTGTTACTTCGGTTCATTTTTGACAGTATACCGTTATTTTGCGGAGATGTTGGGATATAGCACCATAAATTGTCTCTGCGGCGGTTCTGAGACACCTGCAGTCCCAGACAATGCCTATCCGATCGAAAGCTAATAAACTAAGGAGTGAAGATGCCGCGATGTTTCCAATTCATCACCAGGAATTTTAAAAAATGTGCCCTTTATCTCGCTCAAAACCAACATGTGTTAGCCAAGAAAGAATATTATAAGGAATAAAAAAGAGTGTTTGAGGTGAGAAGTGGCACACCTATGAGATTTCTTTTTAAAAAATGAAATATGATTTTAAAAAAAGGTTTCATATTAATTAGCTAAAACTTCATGCACATGTTCCCGAAAACAATCCAAAAATGCGTCCTTTTACGAAATTAATTCTTTAAAAAAATTAAAAATAACAGTTAGAAAGTGCATGTTATCGAAATAAAGTTATGTAAAACGAAGATGTTGCAAAGATATCTTTGTTTAAACCTTAGTTGATAGCTTCAAATGATAGGACAAATTGGATGAGGACTTCTGCGTCGTTCGTTCGAACTTTGATTTCCCAGAATAAGCCAGTCTATTATTTCCGCAAAACACTTCAGTGATAGACATAAAGTTGTCTTCATTAATGTAAACGTTGTGTTTGGAAAATGATTTGAAACCCTCATTGCCCAACTTTCTCAAAATGTCACTTAATCCAAGAGAATTCATTTCCTGTCGATCACAAATCTTATTTTGCTGTAAAAACTCGACAGCTTTCACATAAAAATGGAACCTCGTTTGATTTACACATTGACCATTAAAAGGTTTTTAACTTTCGATTTACAACTGTAAAACGTTTAACACCCTGGTGCCAACTTTCTTATTTAAATGTGGTGCTAAAACACTAGAAAACGGTTTTCTAACAAGGAATTTTGATAAAAAACACGTACGATAACTTCTCTTAAAATACAATAAGGATGACTTATAGGGACCTGCCAATGGCTAGAGACGACATAGTATATTTAGCAGGCTTAATGGAAGTCAAGTATTAACAGGGAAACGTGTCAATTGGATCATAAGGATGCTGTTAGGCTGTAGTTTTTATATCTTTCATGATGTTTGTCGTCAAGAAGAGAGCAATGGTCTAGGATAATGGATAGACGACACGATTAAAAGGTCTCCAGTCAGAGAAGCAGCCATAAAACACTTGCTGAGTGTATAACACAATTAACGATTGTTTTATATAATGTTATTTTTAAGTTTCTGTAGTTCTAATTTTAATAGTTCAAATTAAATTATTTCAATTGCAAAAAAGCGAGTCCTGGGAAAAGGTTTCTGAGTAGTGACCAAAAATAAAAACGAAGGCCATTTACATTTAATCAAATGCTCAAATTTTAATAAAAATGTCATGCAGTCCTACCTTAAAAATGTCAAGTTTTTGTATTTACTATCAAGTAACCTTTATCTGTATACTTTTAGAAAAAAAAAACTTCTGAAAAAAAGGTTATTTAAGTTGTATCATTTAAAATAATGGGAAAGATAGGGAGAGTTACATTTTACTCTCTCATTCGACACAAACATTAAAACAAATATTTTTACATGGTATAGTGGTCAACAAGGAATGTCTACTCTTTCTAGACACCTGATCCTACCCTGGAATTACCAAGGCACCGTTTGTTATGACCTCTTCAGAAGATTTGTATTATTAATATATTTTTAAGATCGATCACTTTTTATTATCGCCAAATAAGCACCAGGTTCCGGGGCCATTAAGGTATGTCACTCGTGAAATTTGATAAATCAAGGATTTTTTGAGAAGTATTTTTTGGATAAATACTCATATAGTGCAACTCAAAATCGCGGAGAAAATAGGGGGTCAGTGTGCATCTTACTGATCTAAGGTACAATTAAGTTGACCTTTTTGCACTTAAATTTTAACTCTTTGGTTAATTACTTTAACCTTTATATTTTAACAAATGTAACCATGGCAATAAATATAATTTTATTTTACGCAAAATAATTTGATTTTACTTATCATTGAACAAATCTTTTTTTAAAAAAAATGCTCGTAAATTATTGTGTGACCTTTTGCAAAATAAAAAAACATTTTGATTGTAAAACAAATACTATTAAGGCAATAAAACATTTTCTTTCTGATTGACAAGCTTTTTATGACTTGAAGCTGATCAGTCACAAGTATCGAGTACTTTAAAATAATGAAAGAAAAAGTTGGGGTCAGTGATGTTAATTTTGAAATATTGGTCAAAATATGTGATTTTCAGGTGAAAATGGTGTAAATTTTATCTTGACTTATTTGACATTTCATTTTATTGGCAAAGTTTGTTGAAGGAAGGTATAAAACTTGTTCTAAAAATATAAATTAAGACCTACATTAAATATCCCTAGCAATATCATAACGGAAAATATTCGCCGAGTAAAAGTATGTGAGGTTAAAGTTCCAAGATATTAAATTTAATAAATGTGCAGATTTGCAGAATTATCTGCTAAATATCCTTCCACCACAAGAAATAGTCCCTCATAAATCTTGCTTCTTTGTAGATTTTTTGAGCAGTTTTTTCGTTGAATGTTAAAATATTAACATTGTTGAATTTAAATACTAGTATGTTATAAAAACTGAATTTTAATAAATAGTTTTGAAGTAAGAGGTTCTGCGTGAACTTTTTCTAATAAGCTGACGAGTGACATACCTTAAACTTAGACGAGCTCAATTTTAATCTAAGCCTCACTTTTACAAAAGGAAAGTGATATTTAGATCAAAAGTGGATTTTCCGTCAATTTTATGGACCATGACAAGGGGCACACGGTAGATTTGACCGGTCAGCAGGGGATGCTCACTCCTCCATGGCACCTGATCCCACTTTTAATGTTTTGGAGGTCCGTGTTTGCTCTGCTCCTATTTTGTATTGTTATATGGACTTTTTATCTTGAATACTGGTCGTTATCTCCATAGGTTTCATTTCCATATATTTCATACATTGTAGGTCAAGATCAATTTTAAGTTGATTGCTTTTTCAATGGCATGTTTTTTTTTTGTTTTTTTTTTGGACAAACGGTGTACATGCGTAAAACCAAAGACTATCTCTTTATTGCCATTAAATGCCGTGTACAGGGAATAGGAAGTAATATGTTAAGAGGATCAAAGATTACGTTATAGGGTTAGGAAGTCTGAATTAACTTTATATTTTACAAAATCTGTAGAGTTAAGCAATACATGTATATGTGAAAAATTCGAATCTATATCTCATACAGTTCTTGAATTATAGTAAGGTGTTATTGAAGGACTGGCAGACTTAAGATAGTGTAGTCTTTCTTACATATTTTAATTTTCAAAGAGATTTTCCAGGAAAGCATTATTTTGATTATAAAAATGGCAAGAGTACCATCATATTTTAGTTGACGTAAAGAACATCCTCCAACAACACGGAATTGTTTCTTTGTATGAATTTTTTAAGTCAAAAATTTTGTAAATACAAATATTGCCCCAATTTTTTAATAAATGCACCGTCTTTCTTGGTTTCCTTTTTTTCTTATATTTTACCAATTTTACTAAATCCACATTCTTTACAACCCTGAAGTTCTCTTCTCATTTTGACTGATTTAATCTCATTAAATGTTCTATAGTGATAAAGATTCGGATTGTTCCTAATTCACATGATATGTCAAACACCGACCTTTATATTTGCCAATTAATTACGCTGATCGTTTTTAGCATTACCTGTCCAATTTTTCTCAATATTGACGTTCGGAGGCGTCTTTTATGTTCTGCATCTACTGGTTTTGGGAAGATAACATTCTTACAGAATTAGAACGGAACAGTTTTATGATTTCCTGCGCTTGCTTGTCCGGCCCCGTGTGATTACATTGATTGAAAAGGTTAACGCAAAAGCTGAAAGACTAACATTTTGATGAAGCTAATTATTTGGCCAACATCGCGTTTGATCTCTTCGTAAATGATATATTCAAATCAGATTTAGTCTTGTCAATAAAATTCTAGAATAACGATCACTTTAACTAATGATGCATTTATATTTTATTTTAAGATTTGAAAATTTATAAGGCATCAATTTCTTTCTTTCAAACATCATTTTTTCCCCTCTAAATGCCATGATTCGTGCTTGCAGTCCTAAATATACAAAATACAAAATAAAAGTTATCACAGTCCATAACCCAAAACAAAATTTGTAACAAAAGAATTCGCCTAATATTCGAGATTTTTTGGTGTTATTTGGATTTTATTTAATTTCAAAAATCCTAACAAATTCAGGATGTGATCATTAAACATACGCTTCTCCTGATGTGCTAAATGTTTATATTTCTATATATAATGACTATATCATTGCAATTTATCAAATGATTACGCACTGTTATAAGTACACCCCGAAAACAAATAGCAGCAAAACACGCAATTGGTTGTAAACACTTACTAGTCATTTTGATTGCAGATTCAGTGCCAACAACTTATCAAGTACCTTATCGGCCTCGAAAAATTAATGTGCAATATCATTTAAATATAAACCTAAGATGGTGAAGAGCTTACACAATTCGGTTCCATCTTTGTCGCTTGTAATTACAAGCGTTATTGAAATTGATAAAATCAGCCATTTTAATTAATAAAAAGTTAGCAAAATAACAAAGTAGGTTTGGATATAGAAGATCAAAACAGATTTCTTTAATTAACCCTTCAGGTTGTTTTCTCAGGAAATTTTACAAATACATTTCTTACTACAAGTATGAAGTAGCTGTACTAACTTACCCACTCCTAAGGATCCAGTTAGTGTTAGGACGAGAGAGAACACGAAAATATCCATGTTGCTGTCTAAGCTCCTCATGGAGAAATCTGCTTACATTGTCCAAATGAGGCTATCTCACTAAATAATACAATCAACGCTTAGGTGACAGTAGAATTGTGATCAGCCTCTCCTGATCAAGAATGTACAAAGATAATTAATAGTTACACAGGTAGCGCACCTGAAACATAATTCAATTTTAGGAGATAAAAGACAAATTTGTTCTAGTCCTTGTGTAGGCGATCGCAGAAATCGAAGTGATTTCAAAGACACCACAAACAAGAGCATTCTGTCAGAAAAACTCAGTAATAATGCACTAGCAATTATAATATCTATGCGATTTTCAAAATGCCATAAAATTTTTAAAAAGTTCTTTTAATCAAGAGCCAGATACTTTACATTGTATGAGATAAAAAATTATATCTGTATTTGATTCATTAAATAAATGCTCATCGAAATGTTCAGATAGACTTGTTTTGTTTCTTTTGTCTTTCTTAACACATATTTTAAAAACATCTTCTTATATATTTACCTCATCCCTGATACAGTTAACCGTATATATATGAAGATTTTATTTTCTTTATGTTTTTATGAGTTATGTTTTCTTTATGTTTTAAATGAGTTTTGATTTTAATATTCCTCTAATTATTCCATTGCAATGAATATTAACACGCGTCATACCAAATTCACATCCTTTGTTTTTAACATACTAAACTAAACAAACCCAAAGACACCCTCTTATAAGTTCACCTCAGCCATGATACATTTCATCATATCTGAAGATTTTATTTATTTATAAATGTTTTATTTTAGTTTTGATTTTAATATTCCATTAAAACATATATGCATGCCATAAAAAATAAAACAAATCGAAATATTTAAGTTTTCAAGCTCATAAATCCTACGAATAAACACATTTGATTACCAATTATGATAAAAATATTCCAAGCGGATATCAAAAATAGTACTCACTTCATCTGGATGCATTATCCAAATGTCCGAAGGAATTTCAGTTAACAAATAACTAGGAATGACGGCCACTCGCTCGTTTTACAATTCTAGATTTGAGCCCAACATCCGCCTCTAATTTTTATATCTTACTCTCTAATTGTTCTCAACTTACAAAAGATATTTTGAAAACTTGACAGAGTGCGCCGTTAATAAGCGTGTGGTTACACAGGAGATTACAGCCTGCTGGTATCGACAGAGCTGATGGGTATGTATTCCTGCTATGATTGACATTTTTTGCAGTAGGCAGGAGGTATGGAAAAGCCCTGTCGATACGCATCGCTAGTCTTATCAGGAGCAGTTCACGGCAGAGCTGGCGCGCTCTCTGATACTTCAGTTACCGTGCAATCAAATATCAATTCGTCAGCCTGTCTCATCATATACATTATTACTTCTCATCACAAACAGATAGGGGCGAACGATCGTGAAAGACTTCCTGATATTATTAATGCAGTAGGAACTGGTAAATATGCAATGATACGGGGTGTGTTGAGTGGACAAGGATATAGGGAAGAAAAAGAGTCAACTATGATACAATATCGTTCAAATAAAACAAAGAATCCCATTTTAAAAATACATTAGTACATGTTTAACACCTCGAACAAAGGGTTTTTGCTGCTACCAAATCACTTGGTACACCCCAAGCCGAAGCTTCATGGTTAGGTGACTCTGCCATTGTGTGCATAATTATTGAGCAAATCATTACCAATGATAGGTTACAATCATGGACACAGGGCAAGGTCACCAGACAATGAATAATGGACCTGATGTGCTACACAGTAAAAAAAATCTACATAGTTACATAAATCAGTACAGGAAGAAAGAATTCTCTTTCTCTTCCCCCGTCTTTCCTTCTGAATTATTCAACTTTAGCCAAAATTAAAACATGAAAAAATTAAATTAAATCTGAGATTAAATTCAAAAGTAAAAGAGAAATTTAAGAAATGTCTAGTAATGGATTGAATATTTAGGATTTACCATTTACATTGGTACTTTAATCAGAATTATCGCATTGAGAATTGAGAAGAATAAAATTTTACTCACTATTTAATTTATTCTTCTATTCCAATTAAACAGATATGGACTGATTGGGATACAATAAAAAGTCTAAATGCAATTTTTAAGAAGTTCAAATACGCAGGAACCGTCCTATATACATGTATATCCAAACCTTAGCATGCAAGACTTTTTATACAAGTTCACTACACATTTAATAGGTGATGGAAACGAAAATCTTGAAACAATAAACTGAAACTGATTACATAGAAACAGATTCATATTCTTCTCAAATTAAGCCTTGAACTGAAATTTCTTTAAGTTTATAAAACAAATCTTTACAATTGATTTTCGAATGTGTTTACCATTTATATCATTTGTGTTTGATTAATTGAAGGATGAAAGACGGGAAACTGCGCTCAATTTGCCTCCCTTTTCCCTCATCTATCTGATGTTCTGATAATATGTGATTTATTAGCATTTATACGACTTTTGATTCAGCGAGTGGAACTTGAAACCTCCCGTCCGATAGCTCACTGCACCGCACTCAGTTTCTGTTCGATGGGATATTTGTTTTGCAAAGAAATTTATATATATATTCAAGCCAGATAGATTATATGTTTTAATCACTAAGTCAAGGGAAAGGATATTTTATTATAACCCCCATGCTTGAAAAGTGGGTATATAGTGATCAGGATGACCGTCTGTATGTCTGCACGTCCCTCCGTCCATCTGTTACACTTTGGTGTCCCCATCTCTTATCTAAAACTCCTCTTATACCACCACGTGAAATTTAAGACTTTCAAGACTCTTTGGTACATAATGCCATTGTGTACCTTCTTTTTTTATATTTTGATCTGACACTTATTTTGGATCTCTTATAGCAAAATATAGAATTTGTCTTTAAAATCATAGGGGGGCAAGGGTATCATTTTGTAAGCTCAGTGCTCACAGTACTTCTAGTCTTTGTTTTATACAAAATAAATGTCAGATTAAAAAGTAAAATAAGAAGTGGATAATGGCATTATGTTATAAAGAATATGTGAAAGTATCATTAAATTTTATTTACTGGTATAGAGGAGTTGTGGATAAGAGATGCCTATGGGTTCTATCCTTCAATATTATAGAAAGAATGACAGTGTCCATGGTTTGCTACTTTTTGCGTGGATCTTAAAAAAATTTAGAACATCAAAATAAACAACTTTTCGACACTTTATAGAATCAAAATAGATGAAAACTTTGCTTTAGATATCAAAGACAATTGTTTTTCTATAAAACGGACGCCGAAATTTTTTTAATAAAGATTGTGATTTGTCATCACCAAAATCACTGCCTCTATACACAAGTAATCTGAAGTTGATATTTAAAGAATGCTAGAAGTTCTTATTGACAACAATTGTTTATTCGTTGGAGAACACGTCTTCCAACTTTTTGGAAAACCACTCGACAGTAAATGTGCTTTTTTTTATTCATATTAAGCAGAATTTATTCAAGAAACTTCTACATGAGAAGAAAGCACTTGTCGTTGCCTTAAACTAGACATTCGGATAAACGACGACGTTTTATCAACTGACAATAGTTATTTCTATTCACAATATTTTCCAGCGATATTAAACTCTATGACAAAGGAGATGACTTAATCTGGTACATCGTCACAGTAGCTATAACGTGCATATAGTGTTTAGGTCTCTCAGCTTACTTTCTACTCAAGAGCCTACTCTGAGCACGAACAATACTAGTATATGAAACGACAGGCTACTCACACAGTAATTGGTCTTACAGGGATTTCCACAATCTCAATTCAAGTCAGAATTTTGTAAATTCAATGTTTTTTTTTACCTTACTACAAATATAACCTAGCACTGGGTTATATTTGGGTCTACATTTTTTCATATCAATTGTTAGGCCGTTGTTTTCGTACTAGATTTGACTAGGTATTTATCCGTCCACTTGACTAATGCATAGGTCCCACGGGATGTGATCGGTCCAAGGGGAATACTTTCTCCTCTTAGGCATATGATCCGATCTCTGGAATCTTAGGGGGTTGATCTGTGTTTATGCTCTATTCACAGATTTGTATTTCTTAAGTCTTTATGAGATCAATCTCTGTTTATTACCTTCACCTTTTTCATTGATTTCTGAGAATTTGATTTGCAATAAAACTGTTTTTCTAATTTGTTTTTAAATACATGTATGTATACAACAATAAACAATATTTAGCTGCAAAAAACCCCCGATATTAGCTTAATGTAGTTTTATTACCAATGTCTCGGTACAATATGCCATAATTTTTCATTGCAATGAATATTTATATGCGTCATTCCAAAATCACGTCCTTTGTTTTTCATGAACTAAACTACTCAAACCAAAAGTCATGATTCCCTTCTGATATGTTTTCAGTCTTTCATTAACTAATATAGACAAGAAGAAACTGTACAAGCTGGCACAGTCGTCTGATTTCAGGTAAGTTAACGACCTTCAATAGTTGATGTCGCAGCAGTAACGACCCATGCTTCCTGTAGGCGGTAAATAGTTAATACTGCTTCTTATAGGAAGAGGAATTTCAAGTTCTTATGTGCCCGTGACGACTTAGCTTTCTTACCTGCCCTTGACGACATAGTTTTCTTACGTGCCCATGACGACACAGCTTGTATCTCTACTTTTCGTGATCTTACATACGACATCAAGTGACGCAGTCTATACCTACCCACAAATCACGGTTGTACGAACGGTCACATTACCAATATATATTATTTATTAATCAGATCCTTTTAAAGAAGCCATCTCATTTATAAAATTATTTTTAATACGTTTGACTCTCCTTTGATCTGAGGATAAATATGTGTCATGTATGACACAGATGTCACAACTAAACAAGAGAAAGCTATCATGCAAACCTAGCAGAGTCCACATCCATAATTTATTTTTTTTAATTCTCTTTTTATTTTGCCTGATGCTCAAAACCCACAGGTATTAAAAAACTGATATTCCTATCCTTGCTGCCTGCGACAAAAACCTGGAAGTTATAAAAACACAAAATATGGACCACTGCAGCGGTTAAAAAATTCATAAATATTGACCACGGAAATATCAACCAAAATGACTTCAACTTTCCTTTAGTCAATTCCTTATTCTTTTTTATTTTCCACGTTCCTTCTTCTTTCTTTTTCTGAAAAACAAAAGGCACACGAAATCAAATGCATTGATAATCTTTATAATTAGCAAATTACCTTAAAAACACATCCCCGTATCAATTGATAACGCATGGCATATTCTCTTTTTAACTCTACCTTTCACCCACCACACAATTTTCATTATTCAGTTTGAAAGACTTTAATCGGGTTTTCTTTCCGATAAAACAACTGTCAGGATCATTTTGTATACCTCGTTAATCTCCCTTCCGATTGGTCAGAGAATTGACAGAGTGAGATTTGCAATCAGTGTTATTCCGCTCACGAAATAGTTCCTACTGAAAAGGCAGGCGACAGAGCTTAAATTTCAATAGGACCCATGCGTGTAATTGCCAGAGAAACTAATTGGAAATTACACTGATAATTATAATTATTCCATAAATTGTCCAAACAAGACTTTAGAGTAGCCCAACGTACGCATAGATTTTATCAATCAGTTTACCAGTTTATCAAAAATTTAAGAATAGTGACTAACACCAATAATTGACCTATAAAAAGATAATATATGCATGTTGACAAGAAAAAATATACGATACTTTGAGCAAAATTATCAAGAATGTAAATTAAAAGCATTCCCATTGATTGAAAAGTATTTTTTAAATAAAAAAATACTTACAATGTATCAGAAAAACTTTCAGTATGATAGTTACTAGTAATTTTTCCTGAGATACTAATAATATTTTCTTGTGGCTGTTACTTTTTTCAATTAACTTGATCAATATTAATGTTAAACAAATTTTAGTTTCCATCTATCCTGGAAAATAAAGGAAAACACAACAATCACCATTTTTGGACTGAAAACATGAGATATGTGTGATAACGAACAGTATTCAAGCTCAAAAGTTCATAAAACAATATAAATTCTGGAGGAGAACAAATACGGGCCTCCAAAACATCAGAGGTGGGATCAGGTGTTGATGGAGCAGTGAGGTTTCCTTGCCAAAATACACTTGATATACACC